CTTTATTATAATAATAATAATAATAATAATAATAATAATTGCTTACACTTATATAGCACTTTTCTGGACACCACTCAAAGTGCTTTACAGGTAATGAGGACTCCCCTCCACCAATGTCTAGCATCCACTTGGCACCAGAACGCTCACCACACATCAGCTATTAGTGGGTAGGAGAACAGAGTGACGAAGCCAATTCATAGATGGGGATTATTAGGAGGCCATGATTGGGTAAGGGCCAATGGGAAATTTGGCCAGGATGCTGGGGTTACACCCCTACTCTTTTCATGAAATGCCCTGGGATTTTAATGACCACAGAGAGTCAGGACCTCAGTTTTATGTCTCTTCCAAAAGGACAGCACTTGTTTACAGTATAGTGTCCCTGTCACTATACTGGGGCATTAGGACCCACATGGACCGCAGGGTGAGCACCCCCTGCTGGCCCCACTAACACCTGTTCCAGCAGCAACCTTAGTGTTTCCCAGGAGTCTCCCATCCAGGTACTGATCAGGCTCACACCTGCTTAGCTTCAGTGGGTTGCCAGTTGTGAGTTGCAGGGTGATATGGCTGCTGGCAAGAACTTTTACTTTTACTTTTACTTTTACTGTTATTTTGCTTATACTATTTAATAAAAGAACTTTATTTTTACACAGCTTTATATATGTAGTATATTTATTCCTTAGTAAATGCCCCAAGTGAAATATTAATTTAATACATTCACCATTTCCTTTCATCTTCTAATATTCCTCCTTAATATCTCACTTTACTTTATCTTTAATGATTATACAAAGTACTTGCTTTCTCCTTAAATGTTTCTTAATTGACTTTTCTAACCATTTAACCATTTTTGTCACAGTTTTCTAAACCTTAAGGTATTTAATTCTGGGACAAAGTTTAAATGTTTCATTCTCTTCTGAAGATTCCATATCTTAACCCTTTGTAAATCTCTTAAATCATGTCTCATTCCTTTAAAGTCTGTTTTCCTAAAACTGTAAACATTTGTTTAAGACTCTACCTGCATATTCCCACAATGCACTTTAAAGTACACTGTATAATGGTCCCAGTTCTCTAATTGTTCTCTGACCTTTCTTTTCCATAATCTGTTTTGACTGTTTGAAAAGTATTTTCAGATTGGTACTATTACATGAAACAAACTGCAACTAACATTCATTTAATTCCCTGCTCAATCTTACAAATTTAAACTGTAAATCCTTAATTCAAATATAATAATAATAATTATAATAATAATTGCTTACACTTATATAGCGCTTTTTCTGAACACTCCACTCAAAGCACTTTACAGGTAATGGGACTCCCCTCCACCACCACCAATGTGCAGCATCCACCTGGATGATGCGACGGCAGCCATAGTGCACCAGAACGCTCACCACACATCAGCTATCAGTGGGGAGGAGAGCAGAGTAATGAAGCCAATTCATAGATGCGGATTATTAGGAGGCCATGATTGGTAAAGGCCAATGGGAAATGTGGCCAGGACGCTGGGGTTACACCCCTAGTCTTTTCGAGAAACGCCCTGGGATTTTTAATGACCACAGAGAGTCAGGACCTTGGTTTTACATCTCATCCGAAGGACGGCGCCTGTTTACAGTATAGTGTCCCCGTCACTATACTGGGGCATTAGGACCCAAATGGACTGCAGGATGAGCGCCCCCTGCTGGCCCCACTAACACCTCTTCCAGCAGCAACCTTAAATATATTAGGGATGCAAGCTTGAAGAAGTAAAATTAAATGAAAAGAGTCATTTCAGAAACGGTATAATTTCAGATTAAATTATTTTGATCAATAGTTCTCCAAAAAATAGTTACTTTATAAATATACCTTTTATAACATTGCATTATACTATATATACTGTATGTAGAAAATATCTACAGTATATAAGATAGATTGATGAGATTTGAAATGGCTGAATTATCTTTTTTTACTTTTATGTTCTAGTTAATCTTAATTAAATACAACTTTAATCTGCTAACATGTAGATGCCTATAGTTACTGCATATGTGGGAATAAAATGAATTCCGAATATCATGTCCAGTGTTATGGTTTTCATCGAGAGTCCAGTTAACAAAGATGTATTTGCATTGCATTCACAAATCACACTGCAACATACAGAAAGTACGTTCATCACATAAAAATAATGATGAGGAATTCCATAATTCAAATTAGATCTCAAATATTTTCAAATCTGTTAAAGAGCAGCTATTAACCTCCCAATGAGTTTCTTAATACATTGTTATACGTTTTGCTATACCTTAATATTTCTTTTATTCCAAGCAACACCGACCTTGCTGAATTTTGTTAAAACGTGAGTAATAGACTGAGTCATTGGCTACTTTTTTATTCTGAGGTTCACCTGCTTCTATTTTAAGCAATAGGTGTAATTGCTGACTTATAATGTGTTTATTCTGCAATAGCTTTTAAACAGTGGCTTCTGTGTTCTGCTTCCAAAGAAAATCTTGAAGGTTCATCAGTTACAGTAAAAATAAAACTAGAAAAAATAACAGAAAAAAGTCAGCCAAGGGAAGGTTTTGCCATTTTGCCAGTGGGCGCCTTAGTTTTGTTCTATTAACTTTATTCCAAATTTTATGATTAAATGTTAAGCAAGTGATGAGGAACCTACTACTGTCCTTTGATGTGAATGTCAGAATATATTTCAAAACATAATAGATCATCAGAGAAATACTCCCTTTGATATTCATATTAGGGCACTTAATGGCCCATGTCCAACTGGGAAAGAGTTCCTTGGCTTGCCAGGAGATATTTGCTCTAATAAGCAAGACAGGAGCATGGTTTTGCTGATGTTATCATTGGAAGGCCCCAACTAAATATAGGCCTTGGTTTATACAGTGTTTTGGATTTGTTGCAAGGGTTGATCTAATGATAGAAGAGAAAAATGTGATGGGTAAACAGCAAAAGGCTAGGAAGGTCTCATACTGAGAAGAGAAACACTTAGAAATATAAACCTAAGCCCCTTTTCCTTTTAATTAGTATCTTGATTATCTGTTAGTTTCAGAACATGAAACTTTCTCAAAGTCTATACATTGTACAGTACGTATGTATCTTCTATAATTATACATTTATATTAGAAATCATTTAAAAACCTGGGAAAACCTATTTGTACATTTATTTTATGTGCTAGCTGTATAAAGAAACAATATTTTAAGCCTAAAATGCTAAAATGCACTTTTGTTTTTTCCACTGAAGTCAGGGACAGAAAAAACAGAAAAGTATTAATACCTTCATCACCTCATCAAACTTTTCAGTGCTTAAGAGGCTTCCCAAGTATGACCCCTGTGTGTATGAAGGGGTTTCCGGGCAGTAATGGTACCTATGAGTAAGAGCTCACGTCTGGGCCTGCACTAGCCTGGAATGTGAGGTAATGTCTGATGCATTGGTTGCTATACGATAGAGGTGACTAAAATCCACCTCTGAGTAGAGGAGCTGTTTGAGACCTTGTTTGTTGTTCTTCACATATACATTCTATGCAAATTTATACAACAGAGGGGAACAAGGGATGAATTTTTACAACATGAACAGTACACAGAGCTGCAACCCCAAAAAATGCCCACTAATCCCCTGTCAGATCCTTACCAGAAAACAGATGTGACAACTAGGAAGATTGAATTCACATTAATTAGAATCTAAAAAAAAATGGTCACAACAAAGTAATGTATATAGATGCTGTAGCACATAATGTGTTGTTGTAGTAAATCCATCCCATATAACAATCAAGTTTAAATAATTCATTACCATTTGTTCCTTGTCATCAACATCATTGTTCCGCTCTACATAACTATTTAATTAAAAATGACTTTTTATATTCTGCACAAAAAAACATATCTATCATTATCTTAAAATAAAACTGCTACAATTCCTGTACCATGGAACTGTGTTTTTGCACAAGAAAAGAAAACACTGAGTGCAAGAGCAGAACAATGCAAAATATGCAGCGCTGTATTCACTCAGGTTTCTCCATACTCGGGTTCCCTTGGTATCTAATGAATGAACTAAAAGTGAAAGTGGCAGGAGAACAGAATCATCTATACATGATCCTTAAACATACACATTGCAATTTTTCAATTTTAACACAAATTGAATTAAATGCAATGTCATCATCTGATCTGTATTATTGATATTGCTGAAGTAAATCTAATTGGTCAAGTTAAATTAACAGTTAAATCACTATGAATTCAACTGTTATATAAGTCTAAGGCAGGTTGCACTCACAATCAAACATGTTACATAAATAATGCAGCTGCACTATGCAAATGTCACAAACACTGGAAGTGTCTGTAAGTGCACAGCAGAAGACAAATGCACCTTCTTCAGGGAAGTCCTAGGTTATTTATATTCAGCTGTGTCAATAGATCCAAAAATATTGTCAATTGAACAACAATAAAGAGGAAAACAGGTTAATTAATTATATCTGAAACCACAGAACATTCACATAATGTAATTTAAAAATGAAATGCAAGTAACACACACACAAGGAAAATCAAACATGTTTCCAATAACATTTTTGTGTTACGTAAATGTAAAATTTAAGATATGTATAATTCTTATGTCATATGCAACATTGTTTTAAAACAGTTCATTAAAGTAACATGCTCAAACTTAAAAATACCGTGAATTCCAGACACGTAAATATTTATTTTGTTACTACGGTTCACAGTTCATGAAGCAAACATTAGGTCATAGTAGAGCATAAAATTTATATGATTCCCAGAAATATGTGCAACTTCCAAAATTCTCTTCAAGTTTAGCTTTCAAATGCCCACTTGACTAAATTGAATCTTGTCTGTTATTCTGAGGTACCTGAACCTCAGTACTTTCCTTTCAATACCATTGAGACTACTCCTAAATATGCAGTTCTTGTTTTGATAAGTACGAACAACATAAATACTGTGTTAAAATGCTTTGAATTCCATTGAGAATACTGTTGCAAATCATATAGTTAAAACCTACCTATTTATATATGTAAACATATGTTTTTCCATATTTTATCACATATTTATACTTAATTTATGTATACCATAAAGCATTTGCTACCAATATTTTTGATACAATGACACTATGTATTGTCTCTGACTGCCACCTGGAGGTGTTTCTGGCTGGCATTGAACATGTGAAAGGATTATTTCAAAGAGAACAAGCTAGTACAGTTGGAAATAATAGAATGTGTATCTGGAGTCAGTTTGCCGAGTTCTTGCAGAGCCTCTGGGCTGTTCTTTACATATTCAGTAAATTTCAATTTTTCCTCAAGCTCCTTGCACCGATCTTGAATCTTAAATGAGAGAAAGGAAGACTTAAAAATATATCAAAATATTCTTAGATTGAATCATGATAGAGATGTTTTAAGAAACCAAAAAAATGAAACATGATGGTGTAAAGCCCCGATTTTAAATCTATAACCTATATCAGTAGAGTATATCAGTATATTGTCACTTTATGGACATGTCTTCATAGTCAAATGTTTAACTTGTAATATAATATGACGGCACTGTACATTTATGTGTAACTCCATTAAAAATATTACCTATATGAATTTATATGTGAATATACATATTTAATTATACATAAAATGTTGCTATTGCTAATCCATCACGTTTACCGATCACATACTGTATGTTACCTCATCATTAATATAATTTGTTCCTATCAAGATATCCATTAAGACAAAAGGCTATAAATACATCTAATAATGCACTTCTGACAGGATAAATTGTTTAACAAAAAATGACTAAAGTTCTATAAAAAGTGCGACACAGAAATGATTGTGTAAAAAGAAAAAAAATATTAAGTTAAAAAAGTAGAATAATTCACAATGTCTAGCACACATATTATATAATGTAGTTTATTTTGAGTATTTAATCCATTTATATATAGATCTTAACTATCCTTCTTCCATTTGCTGAAGATCTAGATTCATTTCACTTTTAATGGAAACTCATAAAAACAGAAGACAAACAGTTAATCTCTATTTTCCTTTACTGCAAGAACATAAAATACATTATCTCATTTATCTAGTTTTCTAACCGCTTACTCCTTGTAAGGGTCACAGTGGTAATAGGTTGACAATGGCAGGGCAGACCAGACTGAGTTGCTCCTGGGAGATTTCCAGGTGCTCCCAGACCAGCTGAGAGATATACAATAAACTCCCAGTGAGTGCTGGGTCGGCTCCAAGGTCTTTTTACTTTGTTTAAGTGTTTTCAAACCATACAAACAGTTATTTTCTTACATATATATATAAGTTCTTAAAGTTATTGCAATATTTATCGGTAAGCTTAAAAGATATTAAGAGTTTCACAGTTTAATAAAGAAATGGTCAATTTAAACCATGTTTAACATAATGTAGACTACTTTAAGAAGCATTATAAATTTATTTTAATTACAAATATAAATCTTAAAATTCATTCAAGAAAATAAACCCATACTTAATTTGAAAACAATTCACAAATACAGAAATATTATTACCATGATTTATGTTTATTATTAAATGATTTAACGTTTGTTGTCCTCTGTAGGGGATAGAGAGGCTATTTTGTACAGTATACAAAATATGTATAGTTTAGCTATTTGACACTTACCATTTCAATTTGTCGGATTAGAGAAGGACGGATTTCTAACTCAAGCATCATATCTCCTTGCAATATATTTTCATGGTACTCCTCCAGCTTTAGATGTTGCTCCAGACTTCGGATTTGATTAAGGCACTCTTTGTACTTTTGGTTAAGCATCTCTGCTTTTTGCTCATCTCTTGCTTCCCATTCTGTAAGTTGCTTCAGATGGTCCATTTCATTTTTCTTGTCTTTGAGTTGAATACGAATGTTTTTAACCTTCTGCAAGACCTGTGTAATTTGCTGTTCCAGAATTTTTGCTCTCTCTTCACGCCACCTGAGTGCCATGAGCTCCATTCTGGCATTTCTTAGCTTTGCTTTTATGTCAGTCATTCGTTCTCCTTGACCGTTCCCACTTTCTATTTTTAAGAAGCTTGAAGGCTTTCTTAAGTGTTCTGTCTTCTCTAGGTTTGGGCTATTGGAGGTCTCCACTTTTGCTTGGCTAAATGAGTGTTTTGGCCACTTCTGGTCACTATATTTCATCTGGTAAAGGTCAACCCATTGAGATGCTAGGTTAGCTGCCAGAAGGCTTTTATAGACAATATCTGGTACCAACCAAAGGATTTTTCCAAAATGCAGTACCCCCCCGGCCTCCTTAGGTGCACTCTGTGGATTAAAGTTCTCTGCTTTAATGGGGCCAGGAGTGAGCAGCAAAGCCCACCTCCGTCGCAGGATAAAAAGTTCGTTAGCCACCTTAGCAATGGATTCCTTTGGTTGCACTTTTGGTTTTGTCCAGGACTCCTGAAGAGAAGTTAAGGGTGAGAACATATCTGAGAAGCATTCTGAGATTCCTCCTTCATCATTAACATAAAGACTTTCACAAAGAGGGATAACCACTTTGTCATCAAAGGTTTCTTTCATTGACCTTAGATGCTCTATGAAGGAGCAGAGCCATGAGATATAACCTTGAAGGTCAATACCTCCATTATTAACTGTGATGTTCACACCTACTTGATTTGTGATAGCTGGTATTCCAGCAAGATGCCAGAGCACATCCAGGCTCTCAATCTCTCCCTGGTAACTCTCAGTAAGCACACTCAGAACATGCTTTAAGGTGTCCAGATCAAAAGCTTCTTTGCAGACCTGAACATGTGTCTCAAAGGAGGCAATTTCCTTCCGGAGACATGAATAAAGCTGATCCATAATGCTTCCTGTAAAGATATATTCACAGGCTGAAGAATTGAAGCTATTTGTCTAATTAATGTGGTCATGTAACAGGTTAAATTACCTGTTACAAAAGCAATGCAAATTGGATGATATCATGAAAGAAATTAAATGAGTTGCAGTATACTGATACCCCAGTTCTTATTTTTAGACATATTGCAAAATCATGTATTTTTCAGTTTCAAGACAGAAATGACATTCATGGAAATGTATGTCTCCAGTCATATAGGGTAAAGATATTTAATGAGTGTAGGCCTTTGTGACAAGAAATATAGGTTCACAGGCCAAATCATTGAAACATTCAACATCAGAGAACCTCACCTATTTGAACTTCAAAGGTGCTGAAAGCTACATTTACTAGTTTTGAAAGGTCACCCTTTGAAGTGTCTGACCTGTCACTACACAATGAATGATGTTTATAAAGTTTGCTCTTTCCATTGCAAATTTCATGTTAAATGTTAAGAAACAGAGAAAATTTAATTTGGACAAGTTAACCAAAGGAAAATTTGATTGATGTGAAGCATTAGGCTGTGTTTTCCAGTTCAGCTTTAATTGCTAGTTAAAAAAAATGAGACTTGCAATAAAAAAATAAAAATCTTCTCTGCAAGCTGATGAAGAGTCAGCTCAAATCTTAGATTACCTAAAATGCTATTCAGTAAGAATCTTTCTAACTGATTCTTTACTAAGAGAAGCACCCTAATCTTCTGATATCTGTAGTGCCATTTTGTCTGGTACATTATGGATAATAACACATAAAAAACTATCACATGTTGAATAAGACACAGCACAAATACTGTTATTCATGTTTCTGTATTAATTATATCTGTATTAATATAATCTAAATTGTTGCTATGGTGAGAAAACAGTTTTGGTTTCCACAGCATAGTAAATAGATGATGGATGGAGAGATGGATAGAATCTTTTCTATCGAGATAAAACTGAAAACAAAATTAAATAAAAATGTTGGAAAACACAAAAATGAACTATAGTGCAGAACTATAACTGCTGTTTTTTAGGTAATTAAATTATAACACTGTTATTGGAAACTGCAGTTAAATAACTACACAACTGACTTGCAGACAGGAATCTTTGCATAAATGCTATATACTGAATGTTAACTTTTAATTTCACATACAATAAACATTAAACTCTATTATGATATTATTATAGAATATTTTCATATCTCTTTAAATCCTTAAATCACAGACATGTTTACTGCACCCACAGAAATTACATCAGCTTTGGGACTATATACTTCAGGTCAATTTCCCGTTTAAAAAACTTTGTTTCTTCTCATGTTTACACTATTTTAAAATATTTGTTTTAAATCACTACAGACAATTTTTAAATCTTTTTTTCTTCCTATCTACTGATATCAACTACATTTATTTTCTCTTCTCTTTTCTGGATGAAATGCCAACTACAGTAAACTTAAATATGTTTACTGTAGAATTAATGTAATGCACCGTATGCAGTGCATAATATTTGTCACTATAGTCTGAAAGAAACTCATTAGATATAATATACAACACATCCTTAGAATAAATTATTATGTAACACCAAACACTTACCAAAATGTATTAGAGCTGGTCAGAGATTCTTGTATGTGGCTGAACTTCCTCAGTTGCTAAAGAAAATGATCACAATCTTCTAAACATGAGTAGAATCATATTTCTTAATTTCATTATGTATTTCAGCTTTTAACAGAGAATGCTTTTCCAAAGAGAATGTTTTTCACAAATTTAGTACTTTGGCATCCTCACTTAGTGTAATCCATTAGTTCCACTTCTGTTAACAATTATTATGGTTTCCCATTTATTCTTCTGTTAATATTTATTTTCAACTATATTTAAATAATATTTTCAATTCATTTACAATTTACTATTTAAACTTCTTAGTTATAATTTTTTACTTTGGATGTAAACCTGTTCTATGGTTCTATAATGTTTTCAGATTTCTCTGTATTCCCTGTCTTAACTTGCCAAGCCAGGGCTAAAGTACAGAAGCCTTGCAAGACACAAAGTGATCTCTCCACAGTAACCGCAAGTTAAAACATGCAGTCCCTAAGCAATAAAGCCTACTGTCACTGTTCCTTCACTGCTAAAGACAATCCCTTATTAGTCAAATGCCATAGCAGGACTACTTTGTTAACATAGTGAAAAGAGAAGAAAGAAAACACAACGTTATATGTTCTATCTTCACTTTTCAGCATGAAATAAACCTATTACTAGTTCCTTTACAGCTTACTCATGCTGATGCAGCTACCCACCTGAACTACTTTGTTAACATTAGAAAATATCCTCCAAGTTCTACAGAACTGGGGTTTGATTACAGCTATGGTGATACATCTAATTTTAGGACATACTGTAATCACCAAAGGGAAAATAGCAAAAAAGAAAAGGTATAAAATCAGGGCAATGGCATGTTGTATTTAATATAACAAATGCATGTTATGCATTTATTCATCTTTATTGCTGATAACTATTACTTTTGCATAATTGTCTATAAAGTTTGTGAGATTAAGTATTCTAAGAGGAATTAAAATTGTACTCAAAAGTACTCAAACAGTGTTACATTTCTAATTCCTATCAGTAATGGAAAAATGAGTATGAATTTCGGTAACTCCCAGTACTAGTATAATACAAATAACTGTTTAGTTGATAATAAAATTAACTGTGTAATGTTTAATTGTCTTATACTGTATATAAACTCTTCAAGTGAAATTGTTTACTGTGGTACCTTTAATAATGATTGATACAATGAAAAAGCTCTAAATTGTTTCTCCTGGAATTGTGAACACAACAGACCTTTGGCTTGCTAAGCTCATTTGTTAGGCCAGTGTAGCAGGTACAAAGATCCTCAGCTTGGATCCAGTTTTGTGTCTAGTCTAAAAATGCAGAGCTCACACACCAAGCAGACCCCACTGGTGTCATTACCCAAACAATCTTGCTTACATTGCCTGTGGTTGTCTACCTCTATTCAATAACAGTGCCCCTGCTTCATGTTGTCACAGATATTCTTTGACAGGGGCATGTGTTTGCACAAAACATAATGCCGGCTTCACACTACACTACACGAGTTGTAAAAACTCACAGTGTGCACCCGTTACCATCAGTTGTGTAGTGTGACACCTCCAGCATCTCAGTCATAACGCTCTTTATTATCCCTATGACTCTCTGTGACTCGCTACGATAAAATCAAACTGGTTTGATTTTCTTGTAGCGAGTCAAAAGTCGTAGGGGTGGGCAGTGAGACAGATGTGTACTTGTGAGATAATGTGCCCATTATATTACATGTTAAAGCGCAATGCTAATTTGTTTATAATTTTTGTTTTAAAGGTGTTTTATATTTTTAACTGTTTTAGTTTTGTAAATTGTTCTATATTTATAAAGAAGAATGATATTTTTAAAGATGTTTATTTGTGGAAAACAATGTCTGTGTTACATTTTTCAAGATGTTTACATGCTTGCTCTCCAGGTTGTTTGTTTACTTTCATGCGGTGCTCCTCTTCTTATTCCAGTGTGCTCCACGTTGATTGGCTGCCAAAATGAGGCGACCATGCAGTACTTTCGCGCTGCAATACGAGATTTGGAAAGGTGATGAAAAATTGTGAGGGAAATGTGTAATTAGTCAACGCCTGCAATTCCTAGTCATATCATTTGACACCCTCTAGGACCGAAAAGGAAGCGAGATTCAGCAATTGCAGTCGTAAAATTTGACATGATCTCCAAACAAGAAGTCATGTCAAGTCTCGTAGTGTGATGCTTGCTGAAGGGAAAAAAGTAACACGCAAGATCTGTACACATGCTGCTCCTCAAAATTCTGGACCACCCTTGGTGAATGAATCACCATCCTTAGTATTTTCTATGACCTCAAAAGGACTTTTTGAATATAAAAATAAGGGCCTTATAAGTATGTCATTGAAGGAAAAAAATAGATGAAGGATTGTTGTGTGTTTCAAGAGAACTGGAAAAATCTTTCTTTGTATAAGACGGCTTTGATTTGTATGTATTACAGTCGGTGTTGCCAAAGTAATAGTTGTAGAAATTAATTTATTGCTGTTTTTATATTGGTGATAAAGGGGTATACGTATATTTTAATAGACATCCAATGTAGATGCAATGTGTATTTTTAAGGCAGGTAATACAGTGTATAAAATAAATACCAATAAATGCAGATTTATTCACAGGTAAATAATACTATGTACTGTATATAGATAGAGCCTATTTTTGTGATTATGATGTGTGTAGCCCAGTTGAAGTACATTTTAATCAAATGAGGCCTAACATAGCAAATGGGTTAATACCCTTGTTCTAATCCATGGAGAATGTTTTATATTATGATTATAGAAAGAAACAAAATGTCATTTAGGACAAAGCAACAGATTATCATAGCTAAAGCCAATTGCATTTTTAGTAAGACTGCAAGCTATGAGCAAAAATGAGAAATATCTCTGCAGTGTTGAGTACTGTCCTTAAGAGGGAATAATTGTAAAGCATGGGAAGTCAAATGGTTTCACTGAGGAAAATATACATTCTTTAAAATGGGGGATTCTTTAAAATTAAATTCTGAGTATAAAGGCTCAGTCATGACAGGCTAGGACATCTAACAGCTGTTAATTAAATGTTATCACAGACTTATATGATAAGAAAAACTGTGTTGTTGACTCTGATTTGCTGAGCTTAAACAACAGAATAGCTCAGTGTTCTACTTTGCTAAATAGTAACAGCTTTCTTTTGTAATAAATTTGAGCAAACAAAACTACCATGGTGACTAAAGCATTACATTGTTTGTTTGAGTAGCAGTGAGTTGGTGCTATTAACATCAGTTGGCAGAGATAAGAAAACAACAAACATGAAACCTCAAGGTCTGCATTTCATGTGCATTTACTGTAGGAAATACACTGAGTAACCTATTTTCCAATAAGGAACTCTAGCTGTTAGACCATGTTGTTGAGTATTATACTGGATAAAAGTCGGTCTTTACAGGTACAACTTTAATTTTCTTTCTTTTAATGAAGAACTGTCTGTTCTTAACTAACCTGACTTATCCCTATGCAAAATTTGCTGTATATAAAGCCAATGGACAGATGGATATACAGTATGTAAATAGAGCAAGACTGTCACACTGTTGTTGTTCCCAAAGACACTCAAAATAATTTACTGTAGGTGTCCTGTAGCAAAGACCAGTCTGTTGTGATAGTAATGTTGGTGCATGGTTGGAGTATGTGGGTCAGTGAGTCTAGACATGCTCTTGTAATCTGTTTTTGAAATATGAAGTAAGATATATCCTGGCCTGCTGGACAATGAAAGGCAAATGGTTGGTGTTCTAAACCTGCATTTCACTCCGGTGTTCCCTAAAGTAGAAGTTAGCAATACGCCTCAGGCAATAGAAAAACAAAGCTGTGTATCAAATAGGAACAAGTAATAGGTTTATCCCATGCTGAAAACAGAAAAAAGAAAACACAATGTTTCGGCTGTGGAGCCTTCTTCAGGTGTGTGAAATACAGTAGTATCAAATAGTATTAGCAAAGTGTTTAGGTACTAGAAGAACATTGTTGTTCTGCTGACCAATTTATGTCGCAATTGCAAAAACTTTAAAAATGGATTCTTAATAAATCTTTAGAACAGAAAAACTGAAGAAGATAAAGCTAATATTCAAACAATATTAAAAAAAGAGAGGGGCATAGAAGGAAAACAAAATAATACAAGAAAGGGTCTAATCAAATAAATGCTTCAAAAGAAACAGAAAGTGTCTGGCTGTAGAAAAAAAAAGTACAGAATTATTTGGCTACACAGTACTTCTCTCAGAAATAAAGTAATGAAAATTAATTAAACCAGGTGTCTAATGGTGATGAAGTGTGTCTTCATCTCTGCCCAATCTTACAGAAATGACTTTTTAATTGCAAATAGACAATACAAATTTGTGTCTAAAGACTAACAGCTAACTTGAAAACATAATTGAAATGAAATTAAGGGGTCAATTTCACAGTCATGAAAAACATATTAGCCACATTCACTCAAACATGTTCTATCACAGGCACACCCAAAACATGTGTAAATGAATCAGCCACAACTTAATTTAATCTGTGACAGTGTTGGGACTATTGTATGATAATTATCGTCTGGAACTGCCAACATCATTTTATATACACTCTGTATGCAACTTTAATATGTATTATCTAGTGCTCTAAATTGTTGGAGCAAGAAACAGTACTTTCTCAGATTGCATTAACAAATCAGGACTGCCATCTGGCTTGTCTAGGTCTCTATCCAATACCATCAACCAATAGGATATTAGTAGGGTTGCCAAATTGGACAGAACAGCAGGAAAAGCAATTCACCAAAAAACAAATTATCTTCATATGAACCCAGTGTCAAACTGTCTACATGTATTACACTCTTTTTTACCTGTATTACAACAGTTGTATGGCCTTTTCCTAAAATAAATAAATGTTAGCTTTTGACAAATGATTTTTAAATTATTTCAATACTAACTCCTTTTCTTGTTGCTGGCAACTGTTTCATTGTTATCTGTAATAATGTTATATGTTTTTTCTTCATTTCTGCATGGGCTCTAATTTAACAATCATCAGACTTTAACCCCACCATCAAATGTTGTACCCAAATATAGCACAGCACTCTTCAAGGAAACATGTCTGTTGAAAGCAATGTAATGTGTCACAAGTTAATTGGCTGTTACTGTTTATGGTAATAAAGGTGCGCATATCTCCCACACGTCTCCTCCCGCATCACAGCATGTCTACCAGACATCTCTTCTTGGATGTCCTGTAACGCATATAAGCATAGTGATGTGAATGTATGCGAGTTGCCTAGTGACTCACAGGACTATTCTATGATAATTAGTCTGTATGGTAATTGATGAGTGTCTAGGCAAACAGCGTGTGATTTAGTCTGTGAAGAATGCTGTTGTTGTGCTAATTGTGTTAGGACAATAACGGTTAATAATAATTATTAACATTAATAATTGTTAATAATGCATTAATAATAGCCTACATTAAATGTTATTTATTGTTGTTTCCCATAGTACAGATGGGCTAGGTTCAAGGTTATGAAATGGGTTAAATTGTGTCCTATATTATTTAGGAATAGTATTTCATGTTCTTTCATAAACAGTTAAGTTTTTAATTTTTCAATTTTGGAAGTGTGTAGTGGGGTTCGTTGCCAAGAGATTCAGAAACACAGGAGTATTTCCTAAGATTGGGGTTAGAACAAGTTTTGCAGATCAGTGCCAAACCAAGAGTCTGATGAAGAAGAATGAAATAATACCTGTATGTTAGAGGGAATGATTCATTTCTTTTACTATTTCAGTAAAAGGTGTGAGTTTTTGGGCAATGGGCAATGTTGGGTTTCACTCACAGTGAGGATGGTTTGTCTTTATGTTTAACAATGATACCCTCCCCCCTATCTCCTAGCTAGTGTCATAGCTGAGATAATTAGCAGACTTTGGCAGCTATCTCAGGCTAAAAGAGGTTAAAGTACATTCAGTGCATAAACATTAATAATGGTGATTGATTTTTTTCACTATAAAGCATGTCATTTATTAATACACATCTACCCTCTTCACCTTTATAGCATGCCTCATAACTTTGTATTTTTAGCTATTTATAGTGTCCTTGTGAAGATCCAAAAATGTTATATTCAATATTAACACCAATATATTAATAAAATAAAACCAATATCCCAAAGTAACATAGCATACCACAAAGCCCTCCATGTTGTCTTTGAACTCTCTTTATTCATATACAGTAGTCAATATACTCTCTGCAGTCACTCATTTAGACTGAAGACCTGCAGCTCACTGGCAGTAGTTATAGTTCCCCGTGTATTGTGGTGCCACTCTTGGTGGTGGGTTTTTTTTTACTTCAATTTACATGTTTTGTAAATCAGGAGTATGGAAAAAACTAGTCCAGTTTTTGTATTGGATTCTCAATGTCTGAAAAGGGCGTGGCAAAAATAAATTCACACTCCTTAGAGATTTATCTTTACCTCACTGAAACTGCATATTTTTTCTGCAGAGAAATCTTCAAAAACAACTCCTTTTTTCTCCAAACTGTAACCTTCCTTCTTATTTATCTGTATAATTTTGGAACCACATAACCTTAACTCTAGGCCTTTTGCCCCCAAGTGGTTGATAGATTCAGCCTACAATGTTTACCCAACTTTCTCAGAAACTTGGCTAGCCAGATTTTAGAGAATGCCATTGGTTTCATGCCATCAGAGCCTTCTGACATTATGACAACTCTAATTTTGCATCTTCTACTCTTCTCATTTAATTTTAATCTTCAATGTTAAATCATTTGTGTCTGAAATACTTTACTAAGTGTGCTAGAGTCTAGTTTCAATCATTTGTAGACATTCAGAAACACCTGCAACAGATTCTTAAATTTGTTGTTGAAGTGCAGTAACATTGGAAAATAAATATACTGTATATACGTAAGCAGTAGACCTGAGGAGCACATGCATTGAACCCCCCTAAATATCTATTAAATATCTATTCAATTTTAAACACTTTTAATAGCTATAGCAATCCAATGGCTATTTAGAGAATTAAGCAGTTCTGAGCTAATTTGTTGTACATATTCATGAAGTTCAGAATTAGCTTTTATTACCTGGGAAAATTGTTTCTGTAGGAATACAAAGTAATTTTGCCTATTATTTCCTGTTTTGTGGTACACAATGTCAGAAAGGAAATGATTTTATGTGACCATACTGTGTCCCATACTCCACATACTGTTCCTTCGGGCAAACATTCAAAACTCAACTCAGTCACATGAATGCTCTGCAAGCAAACAAGCTGACTGAAGAATAAAGCAGCAAGAATATTCCATAAAGCTTCTACTGTATGTGCTGTCAATGTTTTACAAAAGGCAGTGCTTAAAAAAATCAAGCAAATGTTCCATCTCGAAATCAATCATTACAACCTTTGAGCTGAAACATATTTGTTTCAATGTTTTTATCACTGTTTTAATTGTGCGGTAAATAATTTAATTTAACTGATATGATGGTTTTGCTTCTCTCCTCTCTTCCTTGAATGCTTCTTGGATATCAATGCCCATAAACTTCAATGGGCTTCAATGCAGGCTAGATCTTTTGCCCAAGAGAAAAATTGTTTTGGCTGTAAATTTTTTCCAAGCCAAATACTGGCTATCGGCTATTATTGCCCTGTAGAACACAGCAGCAGTCATTTCCAACAATCTTTTGTACATTTTGCACAATACAGACAAGGAGTTTTTGATAGTCAAAATGAGAAATATTTTTTTTTACATTTTTTAATATTTGTATTCTGCTATTTGGTTTATCCTTTTTATGTGAAACTTTTTGGATAATGTTTCTGCCACTAACTACTTCATTGGCTACACTGGTGTACACTAACAATATGCATTTTTCGTTTCCCAGTACACTGCTCGAAAGAGTAAAACCTTAATACAGTCTGGCTTCAAGGGGAACCATTTAGACGGAGACATGGGAAAGGAAGTCGATGTTATGATGTAATGAGCTTGCTTTAGGTTTGATATTTGTATAAAGTATGTGAACTGCTTGTAGGGAGGCTGAGTACACAGATAACAGTTAAATCATAAGAGACAGACTACACCAACAGTACTGCTCTTCTGCTTTGTGTAGTACAGTGAACCTGATTGCAAGGAAGAAATATTCTACAAAAAATGCCAGTTCAAAAGGAATAACCACCCATTTTTTATTCTCAGGGTGAGTTTAATTTTTTTTCTAAAGCTATGGTTTAATGCAAATGTATGTAAAGTACTGAGAAGGGTCTAATGTTTAAAGAACGTATATTTTTCCCAATGAAGATAATTTTGGACACCTTTGTAGAAAGAGATGAATAGCTCTTTATCATTATGTTTTATTATTACTAGTACTCATGAAGGATGAGAAAAAACTATCTGTGTCATTACAGTGGTAAATATGAAGACTATAAACCAAACATTTTTCCTTAGTAATTAAAGAAATACACACATTTACATGATAAAGAAAAATACATGATCAAAGACTCATTTACAAGTTATTCTACTTTTTGTATATTTCCTGCAATGTGATCCAATCATAGTAGAAGCTTCATTTATATTTTAGCCACTTCTTTGACATCACTGTCTTAACATTTTATTTCATGCAGAAAGATAGCATTTCACATCTACACCAATATTTTTGCTATCCTGTACCATTTAACATGGTTTTTACATTTTCTCTTCATCATGGCAAGATAGTGTTTAATTTTCTGACTTGTTGTCAGAAGTTAGCAATTTTGAAAACACTGAAAAGTTGAGGACATTTCTTCCAGAAAAATAATGACAAAATTTAGGAGAGAGAGAAAAGCAACAACAAAATTGTGTAAGTATTTTATTCCATCTTAGACATTTCAAGTATACATGTAGTATACTGGTTTATTGTAGTTATACAATAAAAAGCAATGCACTATACACAGAAGGACAAAAATATAGCATTTTTCAAGCACTCAAAATACATGTTGAGTCACAAATAATATGAATCTCAAAGGAAAAGTAATTAGGCTACTGGAAATATTATGATGTGAGACAGGAAATATAACTGTCAAGCAAGCATTATTGAAATATCAATGCGTATATTTTTTCACTGTTTCATTATGTTAAAATAATTCTATGAGTCCTGTTCATCTGATCATTCCTGCCTTATTATGTTACTCTTTCCAACATTTTAAATGCCTTTGAAAAGTACTAGAAAATGTCATATTTCCTCAGATAGAAAATGTCTTTAGTTTTCTTATTACACCTGGTCCTTAATGATCTTTTCAGAATCTCTAAAGATACATCAAACAATAAATAACTAGAAATAAAATGGAAACATTGCTATTTTCCATAATACTTTTATGAAACCGGTTACAGTATGTTAACATGACTTAATTCCCAATCCATTGCATCAGTTCTTCATAGCTTGTATGTATTTAACAGTTTTGGAACCCAGATGCCAAGACAGAAGAATGGAAAAGCAATGGACTTGGAACTTTCTACTCTATTTGATAGTGTGCCCAGGTAGGTACTAAAAGAAACTGATTCATGTGTTCTGCTTTTGCTGAATGATTGCATTTGCCATTAGAAAACAACAGAATGAAATGTATAAAAAAACTCAAGACAGAGTGCCATTTGTTATAGTCATTGCTAATCAGTTCAACACCTTTATTTCTTTTCACTTTAAAATATTTTTTTTAAAAAAAGTGCCAGAGGAAACGAATTGTAAATGAAAAAAAATGAAGGCACTCCAAAATACACAAGAGCAAATTTCACATTGAATGCAGTTGTTTTGATGCTATTTATAATCTGTTTATAATATATGTATATATCTCAGAGGAGTACCCATCTCAAGAGATTAATTTTGTGAAAATGCACATCTGGTCTCTCTCAGACATACTGTACTTTAAACTGTGGATGCCTATCTATATTTATCCTGATTTAATTTTTTACAAACTTCAGACTTGAATCAGATGTATGTCAAGTAAGAAATATTAAATTATATTTATTAAGGAGTTAACAAGATTTGTTTTTGTTCAGGAGAAGCCGACTCAAGTTTATTGTTAAGAGGAAGTGGAAAATGTATATCGACCAGCACTTACATGAGTAAGGGAATTATACCAAGAATCTGGCTGCCACCATCAATTCATTATTCTGCTTCTAACATACATTATTTCAAACACTAAAGGCAAACACAATGGTTTGTTATTTTTCCATACTTCACGGAAATCAAATCAAATCAAATCAAATAAAAACTCAAAAATAAAAAATAAAAAGTAATAATTTAAGTGGGCATCACAAAATCCTTTCCATGGATTCCAAATTGACTATTAATAGCCTATAATGATGGCTGTGCTACAATATCCACTCATCTTAAGTGCCTGTTGATATTCCTAGTGAATTAACTAACTTAATAGGCATGGTAAAGTACTTTTTTTTAATTCTAAAAGCGCTAAGACGTTCCATTAATGTACAATAAATATCACTGTCAAACTAGTGAATAACATTTGTTCTTTTCAGGTCTGGACATTTTAGCAAAAGATTTCCAAATATGCAACCAGGCTGCCTTTGACAGTGTTGTCAATAAGATCTGTATTCCTCAATTTGTTAAAACTATGGAGTCCTTGAATTTCAAACAGGAATGTCCCTGGCCAGCCTCAAAAATGTAAGTGTGGATTTTATATTTAATCCAAATACCGAGAGTGAGGAGAAGGGTTTTTTTGTTTTTTAATGGCCTGAACACACAAACATTTATTTTGTATGGAATTAGTAATTACAGGAAACACAATAGTTAATTTGTATACGACTTAAATATACCTTTGATCTTAAAAAATCTGGAATATCAACATGATAAAAGATTATATTGCTATAATTTCATGAATCAAGACTCAGAAATAACTGAAAAGGAAGAAAAACAAATTATTTTTTGATAAATTATCATTTATGATCTCTATATTCTTATGCATCCACATTCTGGCAGTCTGTTCTCAATAGTTGTCACCTTTAACATCTTGTGACCATTTTCCAGTCTCACAAATATGGAAATTTACAATACAATATGTAAAATATGACCTTTGTTATGTTTTACCACTTACTTTTCTCTCTCATGTCTCACAGCTCTTACAATACTCTCATAAAATGTGTGGAAAAGACTGCAATCAACACAAAGTGCATCAACCCCAGTCTGAAAGATGAAATATTCCTGGAACTTCATCATCTGTTTTTCCCCCTCTGTCCTTCCTCCATGAAACCAAAAGACCCTGGCCTCCACATCATACTACTTCTGGTGTTGCCCTGTGTTCTCAGCCCTTTTCTCCTGTCATACTTTTGTACTTATATTACAATCAGAACTGCTAACCCACAGGTTCCTGTTTCCCCATAACTCAGTGGTTAAGACAAGACTTGGTATGAGGAGATTCAGCTGCAGATCCTGCAAAATCTTTAAAAAGTTCAGGCTCCTTGCGCCACGGTGCAGTCGAGCATGTTTGTCGGTCCGCATATACAGTATACAAAGAACACGTGTACCGATGATTGTGCTATTTCCACCATTTTGCTTTGGTGTGAGAAAGTAAACTCTTCCTCTCAGGACAAAATTCTTCTGTACACATTCTGCATATGGATGGAAGGATCCTGCTGCCCTTCTAGTAGATTATGGCATCAAGCCCAGCTCTACAATTAATTATTTGTGTAATACATTAAACATTCTTACAGGATGCCCTTGTTGTCCATCTTTTGTGTGAGTTGTATAACAAAGGGCATCATTAGAAGAGAGGTCTTATGTTTTAGAGTGCCACTCTATCAATGAGGTAAATGGGTGTTTTTCTAAAATAAAATCAGTTAATTTTAACAGCACTTCATATTGTAGTTCTGTATTATTCTTGCCCTTTTTAATAGATGTTTTAAGGGACGTACTTAGACATTGCTCCCTTTTTTGCAAAATGGACCTCCCCCTTTAGAATGACAAATTATTGTAACATCTCCTGCCACCCACCACCTTCATGCCACACAACAATGACTCTTCCAAATACCCCCCATAATCATGCAAAAACATTCAAATTTTCAACAACATCCTGAATTTGGTCCCTTTGCTTTTGTTATACAGTACATTTTGCGATCTCCACAAAACACATTTAAAAAGCAGTTGAATTGCACTTTTCTTGCTTGTTTGCTAACTAAAACTGATCCCAATTCATCACCTACAGTAATTGTGCAGCACAACGATACCCTTTCTTGCTAGAAATAAGTGTTATAAGCGTGGTTCCTCCTTTAAATAAGTGAGTAAAACTCAAAACAATATAAAATGCATACATTGAATTATATGGAAAAAGTCAAGATAAATTAGATTAGAATGTCATTGACTATTTAGCATCTTAACATACTTCTCCAGAGAAGCAAGGACACAGTGAAGCACATCACATTTGCACATCTTTTATGGTCTTTCTTGAGGAAAGTTTTTCAAGCACCATTTGTTTTAATGATACAAATGATGCCTTAGTATTCTTCAACTACAATTTTAACCTTTTCTTCTTTAAAATCCCAAAATGGAACAAAAACTGTTTAATTGATTTAAAAATACAGTGCCTTCACAGTGTACTAAGCGCCTCTCTTTCAGACTTTGTGTTCATACTGTGGTGAATTCTTCAGACATGGTAAATACACACTTTGCTAATGAGTTTTGCTAATGCATCAACATTTCAAAAATGAATATTGTAAATCCAATGAACAAACATATGTGTTTATGGAATAATTTGTTTATATTTAAGTTTTAATAGTATTTCTGAATTGATTCCACATTCAATATAGCGATTCATATCAGTCATTTATAAACATGCCTTTATAATTCAGATCATGTACAGTAATTAAGAACATAAGTATTACTGCATATACTGTACCCAAGGTTTAAATCTGTAATATGGTACAAACCGTATACAGTATTTGAAATGATCTCGCAACAGAAACAGATGAAACACAATAAATATTTATTTTCAGACAAAAAAATAACTTTTTTTTACAATAGCTTGTAAACTTTTAGTCTTTAGAGTAACAGCAAATTATAACTGCTATTAAAAATACCCATTGGATAATATCATACTATTGTATGTATTGCTAATTCTAAAATAATACATCATTTTTGACCCATACAAGACTGCTTATATTTTTTTTCTTATAAAGAAAGCACAAAAACAATTTATTTAATACAGCCTTGCGTAGGTTTCAGTTAATAACAACAACTCTATATGTGTCACTTAGGTTTTAAAATGCCCCATCTGACATAAATTAATCTAACATATTACATACTGTATATACACTATTAAATATATGTAAAATGCAAAACAATCAAGATTTAAATTTAAATTTTGTTTTAAAATCAGAAAAAAATAATGTGCTATCTCAGGGCTGTTCAGATCCAATGCATTAGCTGTTTAAAACCTTTAAAATGAATTTAATTGCAACAATTCAGAAATAAACAGTAAATTGAAGTAACTGTGACATCAGCTTAAACTAAAATAAGTAGATACTCTGGCTCCTGGAATTAACACAACCCTGGAATAACTGATGCTTTTCTAGAAAGATTAAAGATTGTCAGCACTTGGGCCATTAAAAGCCCACAGCAAAAATTCTAGATTGTATTGTCACAAAAATACAGCACATTAGAACAAAGAAAAACTGAACATCATATTTAAGTCTAAACCATATACTTCTGAATGGTTATCTTTTAAGTATCAGGCATTATAATGACTGTGATAAGGGTTTTGGGACTGTTAATTCTACTTTTACTATCAGCATTCATTTCTGTTTATTTTGCTATGGCATACCAAAGTCTGGAAGCATAGGGCGCAAGGGTGTACTGAATGTACACTGTTGCTCTCTGCCTAGATGGGTTGCTAGTCCATCACAGTGCTCCACAGAAAAAAAAAAACAATTTAGAATATTGAACCCAACCCAGCCAGCATGTCTTTGTAAGGTAGGAAGAAACTAGAACACCCTGAAAAAACCCACACAAACACAAGGGGCGCATGCAGACTCCACAGAGACTCCACATTACAGCAGGATTGCTGGAATTGAAACCAGGACCCATGAGCTATGAGACAGGAGTGCTAATCATTACAGCATTGTGCTGTCCCTTTAGATCTGCAAGAATTTTAATTATTTTGAAAGTATTCATAGACTTTATAAATGGGTATCTGAAGACAAAGAAAAATCCCGACATTTAAATGACAGCAATCTTGTCACAGTTATTTTTCATGTAAAGTTTGAGAAACCAAACAGCAGAAGTGGGTATCAGTTTTCTACCATTATTGCCAAGAGAAGCTTGAGAAAAACTCTCTAAGCTGATGCAAATTCAGATTTCCTGTTTAAGAAAATAGACTTGTTTGTCTATGCAGTATATTAGTTTCATTTGTATTTGGCTATTTGGCAGGACCATCACACATGGATCTGTTCTTGCTCACTACACAAGCACAAGTTTATTCTTAAAAAGAAAGATCTTTTGACTCCCACAGCAAGCAAGAACTTTGCCTTTGCAATTTCCAGTTTGGGGGTAGCAACATGTCTGCTGCCATGGCAACTACCAGCACTGTTCTAGACAGGGCCGGATGGTTCCATAGCCAGGAGCTGCTGTTCAGACAGGAGAAGCCCACTTGAACGTTTCCATTGTCAAGTCTCAAGTTCATTTTGACCTGAGTCCTTGTAAAGATGAAACAAAACATCACATATATGTGTGCACAGTCAAATTTAGTACTATTTCATTCATTCAGTAAAACATATAAGGTGCCATGCATAAGTATTCACCCCCTACCAATTATGTCACTTTTTTTTCAATAATAAACAATGTATTTTTATAACATTTTTTCAAATACAAATTTCAAATACAAAATGGAATGTTATATTTGAAGGAATGTGATTGTCAAAAGCTGCAATGAAAATATACAAATTAAAACTTATTGATTGCATGTATTCAGCCACTCAAATCGGTATTTCTCGGCTTGACTAGGACACTTCAGGACATTTACACTCTTCTTGCTGAACCATTTTAGAATGGCTTTCATCTTCTGTTTCATACCATTGCCCTGCTGCAAAGTGACATTTTGATCTACTTTTAGATTCATCAGTGACTTAGTCAAGTTTTCTTTTCTAGAAAGATTAAAGATTGTCAGCACTCTAAGGTTTGAAGAACAGATAAGGTTTATCTGTTCTTCAAACAATACATTTTCCCTGACAGACTTCCCAGTCTCTGCCAATGAAAAACATTCCTATACAATGATGCTACTAGCACCATGCTTGACAGTTGAAATGACGTTTAATTTGTGATATACTGTATGCTGTAAAAGACAGCGCCAGAAGTAACATTTTAGAAAGTAAAATTAAGTTTTAAAAATCTGCATTTCATCTGTTATGTTTGTGGTGCAATCTTTCAATATTGGCCTTTTTCTTGCTAATCTTCCATACAGGCCAGCTTTGCATAGTGACTGGGATGTCGACAATGTATGAACACTGTCTCTTATCTTGGACATAACCAGTTTTCTGCTTGCTTATGTTCTCTGTAAAAGAAGCCTGATGTGGTATTATGATTCACATTCCACTCATAATGATGATTAGCAACTTTAAAAGTTCTTGTAAGCTTCTACCTCTGACTTGTTTTGAAAGCTCCTTGATTTTCATTGGTTGATTTGTTGCATCACTATGTGAATTGTGCCTTGAAATTCAAGATCTAGCTCAAGACACTTAGACGATAAACAAGATACAGTAGATAATGATAATCATGTTAAGCCACATTGAGTACACACAGAATCCTTGATTTCTCTGATTTTTACACCTTTCAATTGTTTTTTGCTCTTTAATCTCTGAACTGATTTAATTTTGTCATAGCTATAGCAAATTACAATATTCTATTTTTTTTTCCAAAATAAAACTTGGAGTAAATTGCGTAGATTCTGAATATAACATTTTATTTGAAACTATAATCATAGTTACAAGCACATAATTCAACAAATGAGAAAACTTTGTAGGGTGGTGAATACTTTTGCAAAGTAAAGAAAGCAGCTCTAAATGTCATTAACCATAAAACAAATGTAACATTTTAAGATACGATTCACTGAAATCATACATCCAATATGCCACAAAATGTAATGTAAGTGAAGAGGCGCTGAATTGATTTTTACATTTAACATTCAATAATTTTTACAGCCTTATTTAGTCATATTGATTTAACTTTACTAAAGGTTGTGGATGAGCATTTTTTTCCAGTTTGCAATTTTCTCCCAGTTTGTGATTTTTCATACTAATATTTTTTTTAGTAAAGTATTTATTCATTGTGTATAACGGCTGCCACCTTTATTTTGCACAGAAAAGGTGAGGTAAATAAAAATGTGAAATCGAGCAAAGTATTTTTTAGTTTACAGTCATTTCTTGAGGAGTAGCATATTGTAATCCTGAACACAGGTTTATATTGCTTCAGCCATGGCTGAAAAAAATAATTAAAAATACACCAACATTTAATACCCATGGTGCACTCCTTACATTAGCAAATGTTAACCCATCTGGATTACTTGTGGTATTGTGGTATTTTTTATTATCAACTAACAATTCTTTATCTGAATTCAGATGTTTTAATTCAGTTTCAGTTTAGTGCCTTGGTGACATAATCTTTCAAATACTAAGGTACACCTTTTTCACACACACACAAAAATAAAACACTTAGGAATTTCCTGCCTCCAATAATTATCGATGAGGCATGATTGTAAATCCTCTTAGGACATTCCAACATTTATAAATACATTAATCTGTTGAAAATATTTTAATTGCTACTGGTGTGAATCATCAGCAGAGAGAATCACATTTTACACATGAGATAATGGTCCCTTATCACAAAGCAGTGCTCTGGTTAAAATAAACCAGAAATGTAAATTCATTGGTACTGTAAATGTAAAGTCACTGCTTAAGGACATTAGAATTACAAAAAAATTATATTCAACATGAATTCATATGAATCTGTATTAACGGTATATAAATCCACAATACAAACACTTGCAGCACAAAGTTAATGCAATGTAATAAAATGTAATGTTCATTATACAATATTTTATTAAATGGTGAGAGTGGTTTTCCTGTAAGCTGATGATAAAAAAAACTGATAATAAAATTACATTTCAGTACATGTACTCATTGTACATGAGGAAGATTGTATAAAGTATAGTTTGTACCAAAAAAAGCCTTGAAACCCTATTATACTGGATATTACCATATTTTCCACAAAATCATTAAAGGTACATAATGAAGCTAAAGTGAAGTTTTAATTCAGAGGTTCACAACATTAGTTGTTGTACGCTTTATCACAGTTGCATAATGACTTATTCCTTAAAGTTCATTCTTTTTTCAAAAAATGTTTGTTTGATTACAGCAATTTAAAAACCTAATTTTTTCAGTTAAATTTCCCAATGAAAGATTTTTTAAGAACACACATTCAGACAAGTTAAAAATATATGAAAGATAATGACACCATCACAATGCACTGAAACTAATTTCAGAATCTGTTTCTCAATTAAAAAGTTACCTGCAATGCTTTGACACTGAACAATGGCTTTTCCTTCAACAGCTGGCTTCCCTTACAACAGTGAAAAACAGACTGCAAGATTCAACTTTGATAACTTACAGATCATGCTGCCTTTTATGAAAATTACTTAACTCATTTATATATAAACCTATAGGTTCCAATTCTACAGGCATCACAGTTAAACTGTTTCAAAATGTAAAACATTGCTGATAATTAAATCTAATCTAAATATTTGTAAGAATTAAAATGCTGCTTGTAATTTTATCTCTGTTGTTCCACTAGTTGTCTTTTAGATATTGCGTGACTTTAGAACTGAACTGTTTACAGAGACAATAGCATTGTCTGTCACAACTAAAAATGAATAATGATAAATTACATTGAATGATTAATTAAATTGTAACAATTAAAACAGTGGTAATACTTCATTCAAGTGGTCACAAATTCAAAATTATAATAGCAAATCAATCCTTTTTATCAAATTCTTTGATGTCTATATCGATACCAAACAGGTTTAAGAGAAACGCAGATAGCAAAATCACTCAGAAAGATTTTACTAGAAAACTGCTTGTTTTGTAGATTTTGAATGTTTTATGTATGGAAAACGTAAATGTAACTGACTTTGAATGCAAAAATAAGCCTTCTGCTGAATGATAACCAATAACTGCAAGTGAACCACAGTCAAAGTGCTAAATTAAATCCTAAGAGTTACAGTTAGAGCACAACTAACTCAATCTCCTTATAATATATATTATAATATAATTGTACAAAAATACAGAACTGGCTGTGTCTTAGTGATTACATTTCTAATTGGTAACAACATTATTATGGCCACTGAAATGGAATATTACCAGAACATTCTTAATAAGCTGGCAACATATACAGTACAAAATGAACTGTATACAGATAATAGCTTTGTTTTTTAAATGGGTCCTCACTACCTCATCAGTCCTAAGACATTTTCTGAGGACATACCAGCATGCTTGTATTATCTTCATTGCACATGTTCCCAATACACGTATGGAGTTCCCCTGTATCTGACAATAGGAGATCAGACCAATTTTTTTTATCTTCTTAAAAAAATAAGAAGCAGTCTGAGTTGTGCAGCTAAGGAGTGTTCCGTGGTCAATCAGAGTTTCAGCAAAGTTTAAAGTGATTGTGACTTCCTTGGAAAAAAAATTAGAGCGAATAGAAGCATTCTCCTGTTTAGGTCCTATGCAAACAGGATTTCATGCTCTCTCTCACAGACATAAAAGCTACAGTATATAGACATACAACTGAAGGGTCCTTTGGAGAGTGTTCTTTTCTCTGTAATCTTCTTACACGCACATGATCTGCTTTGTTGGTTAACTACCCCATCCTCACCAGAACAATGCAAATATTCCTACCCAAATTCCAGCAAATCTTGTTTTCTGCTCTTGCTCCGGGTATCTTCTTAACTTGCCTGGTTTTACAGTGTTCAGGACACAAACTAAGCTTCTATGGTCCTCATCTGTCTATACAGGCATGTGCAGCTCATTGTACTCATCCTGCCCATCCTCATCAAAATTTGGAGATCCTTCATCAGAATCCAGCTGTAAAGGAAGTAGATTAAGTTACTTTAGGTTTGCCAGTTATCTATAACCTGCTGTAATTTAATTTCCATCGGGTTTTTTTTGTACAAATGATCAGTATGCTAAGAGAGGAATGCTTGCCTTTTTCTGTCATGTTGTGGATTATGGTAACCTACTTCTTTTTAGGTCTGCCACCTTTTTTGTTTTATACATAACTATGCCTTACTTTAATCCATGTTAAGTGGTTTCTAAACAGAAGGTCAACTTGATCAATTGTATGGGTTTATAGATGCACCGTATTAATCTCAATATTAATTTCAAGTGTGCCTGTCCTGTTTATAAAAGCAGTGACACCACCGTGATGTATAAGTACTTATCTGACAGGCAAAGAATAAGCCTGTCCAGAAAATATTCAAAGATGTACAGTATTAGTACTTGCCTGACAGGCAAAGAGTAAGTGATCAGATGATACAAATTGGGCACTGCAGACAATAGACTAATCGAAGCCAATGAAAGGAAGAGGGCTAAGTATGAAGACCTTGTGGAGAAGTACCATTCAAGGAGTTGGAGGACAAGGTGCATGCCCATTGAAGTGGGCTGCAGGTGCTTTGCAGGGTAATCCCTGAATAGTAGTTCAGGTGGGTAGCAGCGACAGCATGTGTAGGCTGCAAAGGAACAAGTAATAGGTTTATTCCATGCTGAAAAAAAGAAGAAAGAGAACACAAAATTTCGGCCGTGGAGCCTTCTGACACACCTGAAGAAGGCTCCACGGCCGAAATGCTGTGTTCTCTTTCTTCTTTTTTTTCAGCACGGAATAAACCTATTACTTGTTCCTTCGAATCCCTGAATAGGGCCTACAGAATGCTGGGTGTCACAGGTGGTAAAAGGACAGAGGCTTTCAGTGCTATAACTGAGGCTGTAGAAAAAGTATCAAGATGGCTGTGGATAAGGAGAAATTATCATTGGGTTCAGAGTAGTGTTATGTGAACAAGCTTTGTTAGGTCACCTGAGAGATGACGTTTAATGACCTGGTGTCGGATGTTGAAACCAAATGACCTCAGGATACAGTGCATCACTGATACATGAGCACAAAAGACATTTCTTAACAAAATCACTTACTGTTATGTGACAGTGTGATAAAATGCCATTTCATCTTTATCTTTGGTCGTTGTCAATATCTCAAATGAAGTAAACATTAATACTGGCTTTTTGGGAGTCACAAAAGATATAATGGAAATGATTCATGTTGGTATCTTAAAACTAAGTTTTGTTCTCATTTTTCAACATCAAATTTTTCAACTACTGTATCTTATCATGACCCTTGTACAGGTCTGATAGTAGCTCAGATAGACTCTGTGGGATATACTGTACAAATCAAAATAGCTTTGAGCATTGCAATAAAAAAGATACAGTGGAGACAAAAATTGCAGTAGGATAATTTCTACAGGGAAAAGAGTAAAGTACAAAGAACCAAACCCACAGCCTTAAGCTCTCTGTCTTCAAAGATTCTGCTGAGGACAAAGCGTCGGAGAGGTACGGTCAGTATGAGAATGAAGGGAAAGGCCAGAGAAGCCACTGTGGATTTCACCACCCACAGTGCAATGATGCACACCAGCTGGATGCAGGTGAACATGTTCATCCGCCATGTCTTCACCTAAAGGTCACAAAACACCAAACACCATTGAGCCAGGTTGATGAGCTTCAACATTACAATAACAGTGTTAGTAAACGTTTCATTATGCTCCTTTTCTGTGTTCACCAGAAACATTCTGCTATTTGAGGTCTTTGAATGCCACCCCCTACACCCCCACAAAAAAGATGCAATTTGCACCACCTAGTGGATATTCCCAAGAATACAGTAGCTTCTAACATGTTTGAACAATAAGAATTGATCCCCCTGGCTTTTTAAAATGTGAACAAAGTAATTATTTTCAGTGGTATAGTATAACTAATTTTAAATAGTAATATAAAAATAAAAAGACGAAAAAATCCTAAAAAAAACCTTAAATAAAAGGCTTATTATAATGTACAACGTGCCTGCCTGAAATAAATAGTTACAGGGTACACCTGAGATTATTTGTACATTATAATATAATTGTAACATCAAATCCTTTTTTAATCATAACATTCAAAATTTTTTATCTTTCTCTTGCATTTCATTATAATTATCTGTGCTTAATTTTGGCTGGAGTCCATCTCCTGTCCGTACTCTGGAAGCACAGCTTCGACACCTCATGTACATTTTATGTACAGATAAAATCATTTTAAAGATTTACTGTTTCATCTCATTGACCTCTCAATTAGACTTCCACTGAAATATGCTTATTTGTTCACTGTGCATAAATACCTCATAATAAAGTTAACATGTAAAAACAAAATAAGAGGATAAACTACATTACACCTTACTGTGCATGCTGCTAGTGTAGTTTGTATTCCAAATCTGCATGTTCAAACATTGAACAAATCCTTTCTCCAGAAAATGAGAAAATTGTTTTAGAAGATAACACGGTACTCATCTACTGCTACAGTAGGTGCGACTTAATAGTTTCAACCAAAAAGTGCCCTGATTGGTTAACACGCCTATTTGTAGCTTTTTTCAACCAATTAAGTTTAAATTGTAATTTTATAAAAATAATGAAAAAAGACAACAACTTTATCCTTAAAATAAGGATAAGGATAAGGTTTTTTTTTTCTAATACAGTTACCCATGGGCTATACAGTAAATTATATATTAGTGGGAGATCATAAAGTCAGATTCTGAAATCCTACAGACCAGGAGATAGTTCCATCAGAATGGAGAATGTAGACTTAATAATTATGGTATTTAAAATTGCTAATTAAAAGTGTTTCAATAAGCTTGTTAGCATGTTAACGACAATGATGTATTAAAAATGCTTTAAAAGTGCATTACACTGTTAAGCATAACGAGGTTGTCCAAATTCAGCACCTCTGTTGTCTCTTGTGCATATGTGTCCCCTATTACATTGAACTCCTGCACCTCACAATTTACAAACTAGGCGCTGGTAAATATACTAGTTATCCCCTCAAACCCAGGCACTTGCCCAAGGTGAAAGCTATACCTTGGTGACGTAGATGTGGTCAGGGTGATGCTTGGATGGCGTGACCATGAGCATTATGCGTTCATACAACTGGATCCCAGTGAGAGAGGTGATTCCCATGTAGAGGAAAATTCCAAACAAGACAGCCAAAGGAATCAGCCGAAGGACATCTCTCATAACTATAGAAAGGCCTAGATGAAATTCAACACATTAATTTAGCACACGGGCTTGATATATACTTTAATCTCTCTTTCGGTGAAAAGATAGCTGAGTTTAAAGCATTAAGCATTTATACAGCCTTCATAATAAGCCATAGTTTTTAAAATCCTTTTTGGATATTGACATCCTGTTCACTTTAGTTCCAAATTTAAATATTATCATTCCTCAATCTCGTTGCCTTCTTTTAGAAATTTAACAATGTGCATTTACTGATCAGTCTGTTAAACTTTTAATATGAAGTCTGTTGCATTTATTTTGAGGAAAAGCAGATTCTTTTTCTTTAAATCTCAAGAGAAAAACTCCCATTGCTGTGGAAGTAGATAATTACCAATTTCACACTGGAGAAAATAAAACTCTGCCTGTTGGTAAAACCTGGAATCATTTACTGATGCAAAGATTTGATTAATGAGACCACAAATCAATTTGGAGTTGTAGACACAGAAACACCATTGACAAGGGTCTTACCTACAAGTACAGAAACTACCATGCCAGTCACTCGCTGCTCTTTGACCTCCCGAATTCTGGGCTTCTCCCCAGGAGCAGTTGCTTTGCTCATCACGGTCAGTGCATTGACATGAGTGACAGAGCGGACAGTGGCAGCTGTCAGCCAGGGCAACCCGAAGAGGGGGCAGAGTGCACCCAGTGTCACAATCAGCAGAAGATCCAGATGGAATCCAGATCCCTTTACCAGACGGCGCTCCTTCTTACTCACGATCAGCCTAAACGGAGAACACAAACACACCTCCAAAGATTAAAAACATACACAAAAACCTGTGTCAACCAGGATTCATCCAGCTCCAGTGAACTGAAAAGAAATCTCATACACAGATTAATTTGAAATGACAAAAATCAGCACACAATGCAGCTGTAAAATACCTTCAATTTCAATGTTAAGCAATAAAGCTCTGTGAAAGAAAAGAAGGTGGAAAGGAAAGTCCCATGATATTGCCTGACTAAGTATACATACTAACAGCAAGCACCCCAGTGTTCAATGCTTTACATAACCTCCTCCTCCCAATCAGACCTCCTCCAGCAGGTCATTGGCTCATTCTATATAATAATAATAATAATAATAATAATAATAGCTTATATTTATATTGCACTTTTCTGGACACTCCACTCAAAGCGCTTTACAGGTAATGGGGACTCCCCTCCACCACCACTAATGTGCAGCATCCACCTGGATGATGCGACGGCAGCCATAGTGCGCCAGAACGCTCACCACACATCAGCTATTAGTGGGGAGGAGATAATGTTGGGATAGAAGGGGGTTCATTCCCTTATCCAAAACAACATTAAATCTTTCTCTCAGATGCTTATTTACCAAATTACTTAATGCTATGGAGTATTATCAAATGTAAGTCTTTTTCATTTAAAGCAGGAAATTATTATTACTTTAGCTATAAACAAGATAGCTAAACAAATAAAAAGTATAGCGCATTTAAAAAAACAAAAACAAATGTGCTAAACTAGATCTGTGCTATTTTGTATTTATATGCCCCAGAGTGTCTTGATGTTTTCCTAAAGATATGGTGACCAGTCGTTTGGAGCTTTGGTTAAGACAAATACACTAATAAGACTATACAGTACAATTTTACTGTCAGTGAGGAGACACTCTTTGAAATTGGTTAGGTCTTACACACTCACGTTGTAATTTGTGTTTCCATGAAGATAAGAATGAACACTAATAGGGCTGGGATTGCAGCTGCAAACATCATCCAAATTGGAAAAGGTTGTTTGTCCCCAAAAGGATGAATGAACCACTGTCTTTTTTCTGGAGAGGTAACTGAGAAACCAGAGGGTACATTCAGCTTCTGTAACAAGAGAATTTAAAAAGCACATCAAACATATTCAATAAGTTTGAATTACATTTTGGCAAACTACAACAAGCTACTGTATTTAACCATGATGAATTTAATTCAAGAGATATTGTAGAATATGTCACTTATGTGATCTAACAGTGGCTTTGTATATTTACCTTGTATTTCATCTTTTATTTGCTGAACATCAAAAGAAACATCACTCTGTATATGAACAATTTTGGTTTGAGAAAAATAAAGTGGACAGGTTTTGTATATTGGTTAATTGTTTTTGGAATAATTTTGATTCATTGATCATTCATGACTGACTTTGATACACAGAAATGATTTTAACTCGCATAAACATTAAATTGCTTTCTTAGTATGCCTCAGTTCACTTTACAGGTGATTTAAAATGTGATTTTTAACATGGAGAAAAACAGAAAGGAAAACAGAGAAGAAACATATATATTTTCCTATTTATCAAAATAACACATTCACACTATCAGTATATTATTGACAAAGCTAAAACTGAATTGAGATTACTCCCGACACATGTCCATATGGCTTGGATAGTGTGTTTTATACAGCTAGTGATCTACAGTATACTGTGTTTCATCAGCAATGTTTGGACTGTTCTACTGCCTGTTCCAGAGTAACATGAGTTCCTCAACTTTTAATCGTTTTATTTGTATTTTGGTATCACTATAGCACAGACAATATTTATAATATTAAATATGTTCAATAACTATACAAAAGATGAAAGAATTTAATTGATACAATTAATATTAATCTATAAAATGAATATCTTAGTGCCATTATGTTTAAACACAATACTCATGCTGTGCACAAATGGAAGTTGAAACGCTATTTCAGACAATATCACTTTCTTTTTTGCAAGAAGGACGACAGTGGCCATAGAGCTCACTGCACTCCTCAACCTCAAGTTTTACCTCTTTACCTACAACAACTAAAATGGGCTTTACATACAACAACTAAAATGGGCACTTAACAGACGCAACAGACATACAATACATAAAGACTTTTGAACTGCTCCTAATGATTAGCTTTAAGTCAAGAAACTGTCAGTTCACTGTGTTTACAGCCAACAAGTTCTAACCAGGGAAGATATTACAACCAAATGCAGTCATGGATGACAGACCATGATCTGGGATATCTTTAGTCATGATAGCTCATCATGAGGTACAACAAAGATGCATCATCAAGCCCCATCACCATTACTATTTCTGCAATACCAGTTTATGGAAATTTGACTGCACAGCACTACATTGATCAAGTCATGGACCTCCCTTGCCGCCCTTTTCATAGATTCAACCTGATGGGACAAAATTACAGCGAGGCATTTCTTATTAAGTTTCTAATGTGAAAAGCTTTCTTCTGAGGCGAGAATGGAACAGTTGAGTTATGGTTATCCTACAGACCAGACTTGATCCCCATTGATGATTTGTATGATGTTGTAAGGCTTAGATACAAGTGAAGAAGCAGATGCTTGGTCATGAACTATGACAGAAGTTGGACAGAATCCCACAAGACAGCATCTGCAACCTGGTGCAAAGCATACATTGTAGATGTATAGCTTGTATCACTTCCAATAGCCGTCACATACAGTATGCTACAATCCTGGGATTTTCACAGTAGACCCTCTGTTGATTAACCCAGTTGATGATAAATATACCAATTATGTTAAGTCTGTTCAATAAAATATCAGTGAACCATCAACAAAGAGATATCTCATTTTATGTGAGTTTATTATAGGTTAAAATGATATGTTTCTTTGATGTTCAGTTTACATAACACGCTAAGTGCAGAAATTTTCCATACATTTCATCATTTAAAACCTGGCAACTTTTTAACCTTAAGTTCTAAAGAGATATTATATCTTCTCGTCCTTACTAGGTAAATAACTTCAAAAACATACCATTCCAGTAAGATTTTTTAATTTGTAATTTTGAGCAAAGATTAAGAGCAAATGAATAGTTCTGACATTAAAAAGGTAAAAAGTGTTTTTAAGAAACAATTTTGGGGTATAATGGTGTATGAAAATGTAAATGGAACCATATATAGTTTCAGATTCTTAAAGATAACACTCCCCAAGTTTGGGGATGCTTGGGGTGTGTTAAAATATTTTCATTCTATTTTGAATTGTCTCATTTATTCATTTTGTTCTTCTTCCAATATTACCTGTGTGTAAGTGTCTGTGATGGAGTAGTCCACACACACCGTCAGAAGAATTGAAATCGGTATTCCAAAGTCTCCAATTATTCTTCTAGCCTTAAAAATACATTAAGGTTTAGTTATGCCACAAAATAATATTATTGCAACAATAAAAGGCAAAATTCAGTTCCTGAAATAGTGAAAAAGATATGGGAAAAATGTATACACATTTCGTTGATAGATCGCAGTACAAAAAGTGAACTGTACTGATTTGAAAATGAATACCAAAACAGCACTGTAAACCCAGTACACATTCAATCCCATTGGAAAGCATTGGACACAGTATCTGACTAACACATTTCTCTTTTAGGCACTGCGAAAGAAAATATTTCATACCTTTCCTCCCAGGAACCTGCTGTTTCTGAACTTCCTGAGGAAAAAGGCAATGAAGAATGTACCCAGCATGAGTATCAAGGACAGCAGGGCTGTGTTTGGCTGCATGACTACTGGGGACTCTGTGGTCCCTGCCACTTGAGACAGGTCGATGGACCCTAGGGCAGGCTGAGAGTTTGGAGGGTAGGTCTTCAACAAGGGATGCTCGCTGAACACCTGAAATCAAAACCCTTTAACAGTACATTCAACATACTGGGTCGATTACAGTAGGTTCTCCTTACATTCAGACAAATAACACTCTAAAGACTTCACACAAAAAGTGTTAGCTTTAGTAATTAATAATTAGGACAGATGCAGCCTAATGTGTACAGTAAATAAAGTACTTCTGGAGTCACCAATAAGCTGGAATCTAATTAAACTGCCCTTGGGGTTAACTAAAGTAGTTTCAATTTCTAAATATTCCAAATAAATACGTATTCAATTTCTTAAGATCAAATTTAAAAATAATTTCTAAACATTTGCAATGGGAATGCACAGTGTTCAGCAAATTGATTAGGATTTACACAAATTTTACTAGAATGTTTAGAAATACATGAAAATTTCACCCCCCGGTAATTTTAAAATAATGTTCACCCAAAAACATTTACATAAAATCCTATAAACTACAATGACAAGGTTCCCACTGAAGAATGGATTAGACACTGTGGTTATTCTTCATCTCTCTAGCTTTATTATGAAAGGTACAATTTAATTTCTTAAATGTTCAGCTGAAATGAAGTGAATACCAGATGGAATGACTGCAGAAACTAACAGTCTACTGAGGTTTACAGGAGAAAATTGTATAAACATCCATTGTTCCAGAAGATTTACCTTAAAAAGCTTGTAGAAAGTCTCATAAATGAAAATGAGGGAGATGAGGAAGGCAAAGATCTCCTGAGTGAAAGGGGAGATGTACCGCACCAGGAAACTGCCCTCTGCTGCCACAATGACAAACACAATGAAGACCAACCAGAAGCCGATCCACACCCGGCCCGTCAAGTACTCAAAATTCTGGGCCTGACAGAACTGAGACACAGAGGAGCAGGAGCCAGAGTAAGGGTAGAGAGTCATCACAGTGTATTTGTACATAAGGCTGTATTTTACCAGGTTTTTATAGCAGTACACGATATTGTATGTTGATTTTTAGTCTACATCCGCCGAGAGTTCACCGCCACTGCCTAAAGGATTTGGGCTACAAATGTAGCTATGGTTCCCCTTTTTCATTTTTTTCATTTTTTTCATTCTTAATTTCTGAATCAGATTGTATTAACTTTTAATTCTATGGGATGTCAATACAATAAGAAGAAAAACAAAAACTTGAAAAAAAGTAAAACCCAAATTATTTGCCAGCTGTACTTTATAACTTTACTCACAAAACAAATCGTCCACTTTGACACAGATCAGACCAGTAATTTAATTTCTAAACAAATTCCATTTTTATCAGTTGAGGTCTTTAATAATCTGGGCACTGATAGAGCACTTTACCAAGAAAAAGACATGGAGTATCCATATGCACAGAAAAGTATTTTAGCTCCAGTTTAATATAAAAAACAGAATACCAACTGCTGTAATTTTCACAGTTATATCCCTTAAGTCTTTTAGTTTGAGACAAATACAAGTTTTTTAACCTTCATTTTTTTTGCTAATTTAATCAATCATAGAGAACTGATTGTCTACATAATTGGTAAATACAGGAGATGATATTATAAGAATTAACTAAAAAGAAGAAACAGAAGTACTGAAGTAATTCATAACATCTTTCTTAAACGTTCACATTGAGCGTCACTGTAATACAGATAAAAATCTAGCTCTGCCTTACCTTATAGAAAGCCTCCTCAAATACCAAAAGTGGTCCTGAGAAGCCAATAATAAGAAGAGGCTGTCCAGCCAAAAGCGAGAACACGACACCAAGAGCAGAGGTGGAGATAATCAGTTCAGAAACTCCCATCAATCCATCAGTTTTCTCTCCTAGGCAACATAAAAAAACATGGGGTAAACCTACAACCAACAGTGTTGAAGATTATCATTGAAGCACTGCACTGAAACAGACACAGTCACTGCAAGAATTCAGAAAGTGCTAGCATCAGAGACCATACTTCCCAATATATTAATTTGATCAAAGACAGCCAATGTATTCAAGGTTTCATATAATAAAGCAAAATGGTTGTCTAATTTTTAATACTCTTATGTTTTAGGCATGATGACGGTGTTCACAGTTTTCTAACATTGCTGACCAATGTAACCTCAATGATCTTGGGAGTACTCTTGCATTTGACTACAATGTGAAGATCAACAGAGGGAACAAGCTGGGATTTCAAAGGCACGTCTTTGCATGAAAGAAATGGGAAAAAAATGGCCACCACAAGACCTGTGCATGTCCTTCAAACTTCTCCTCCAAATTCTGAATAAAAAGTTCAGCCATTGAGCCACCTTTGGGGTCACTGGAATTGTACCTAGTGGTACAAAGCTGTCTTGCAAAAGAAGTTATGTCTATTTCTTCATAGAGCTGATATAGTTGATGCGAAGCAGAGGTAGTAAGTAGCCATGCCCAGAAATGATGTCAGTTGGCACAGTGACTGAAGTGCAGGATAGGTCTGCATGGCATCAACGTGGGAGAGAATAGGGGCATAGAAATTATGCTGTAGTTTGGTTTGGTATGACCTTGTAATTTGAATAATTGGTCAGTGGAAAGAGATTTAAAAATAATATAGCCATTATTAACAAAATTTGAAAATCTATCCACTTCACAACAAATCTGCAATACTTGAGTTACATGTGTGAATGGTTTGAGAAGGTAAGATTTTCATGTGTCCATTTTGTGATTACAAATCCTGTTTTGACATAAAGTTGACCAGCCCAAAAAGTAAGTAATCAGTATCACCAGCACTTCAGCATTTTCGTATTAACACCAACTCAAGATTGCAATGGCAGTTTTTTTTAATGTCCAAGTCACAGTACAGGAGTTCTCGTTTTACAAGTAGGTTGAGGTCTAAAAAGGTCTCATATGACTAAAATATATAAATTAAAAACTAATTATCCAAATAGGAGAAACTGAGGGTTAGACTGTTGTTAGTGATAGAGGTTGCATAGTATGGGTGGCGACGTTTTATTTACAAATAAAACATTTCCATTGAATTATAGCCTGATTTTTCTTTTGTAAAGTCTGTAGTATGACAGAAATCTTTTCTAACGTTTGTTTGTACAAAATATTTTTGTTTAACTTCAAGATGATTTTGTTGCTTCATTTGGAAAATTATTTTTTTTACAATGTTTTTCTTGGTCTTTGATGTGGGTGTTGGGGGTTGTATTCAATCTATCCATTTTAGAACTGTTTCTTCCAATTCAGGGTTGGGGGGGAAGCCAGAGTCTATGTTGGGAAGCAACAGATGCAAGACAGGGTACACCCTGGACTGGATGCCGGTCCATCGCATTGCAGACACACAAACACAAAGGCTGACGTGCACACACTCTCACCTAGAAGCAATTTTCCCAGAAGCCAATTAACCTACTAATATGTTTTTGGACTGTGGGAGGAAACCAGGGCACCTTGGAAGCAAGGGGAGAACATACAGTACAAACTTCACACAGACAGCACCTTAGGTACTGATGTGAACTCAGGGCCCCAGCTTTGCAAGACAGCAATGCAAACCACTGCGCCACCATGCTGCTTGGGAGTTGTGTTAATCTGGCTCATTGTGACATTTGTATCTTGCTATTTTGTACATAAACTAGACGTAAACTGTGGTTTGTTTACATTCCTAATGCAAATTTGTTCCTCATTATACAATACTTTCATTGTGTAACACACAGGGTAAAATGTTGATTTAAGATTATTGAATTTTGCTCACTCCCTCCTATTCCTCTCATTAGACTACTTCTTTTTAATTACATTATGATACTTACAGTATTTATTTTTTTAGCTTCTAGTAATGTTCTCTTTTACTTTTGTAATGATGGGGAGTAATGTGAGATTTTGCCAGGCACATAGGTTCTTGAGTGAAATCTCAGCAAAAAGACTCAAACATGACTTTGCCTCCAGTTTACATGGTATGTTTTATGTGTGAGAAAGTGTTTGACCCTGTCGTTTAGCCACACAGTCTAAATGCAGCCCGAATCCTTTAGCAGGAGGAGAGTGAGTGCTATATGTAAGTCCATATTGTGGAGGAGATTTTCAAGTGCACTTAAACTTGAGGATGACTCACCAAGCAGCCCTCCAAAAGTTATGGTTGGAGACAGGGCAGCAAAGTAGATGAAAACAATAGCAGCCAAACACTGCGTGTGCATGGCATCTCGGATGTCACTCAGATAGCGGGGATATCGCCTGCGGATGTCATGGACCAGCCCCCCAAATGGGATGCCAGAGCGCTTCAGAGGGTCATCGTCAATCTCTTCCGGTCGCTCTTCCACACTCACCTCTGAAATACAAAAACACTCTTTCATACTTTAGACTCTCCCTAAAAGTCCTGACACACACACCAGTACATTCCCTTAAGTTAAGCCACTCAGCCTCAGAAAAACTATCATTTCCTGACTCCTCCAATTGCCAGTCATGTACTTTTTAAAATGAAGTTCACATTTAGAGAAAATATCCCCATTTCCCACACAACATTAATTCAGTCAATTTCAACAAATAACTTGCACACACCTGAATTTCTCCCCATATTATCCATATTAGATTGAAAAAAAACAAAGTAATGAAAGTGCTTTTGGAAGGGGAATTAATGAACGGAAATGTAAGGTGTAGCTAGATGATGCAGTTATGGGAAAGGAAAATATGTAGAATTTATTTAAAAAATCATGAACCTGTACAGTGTCTTTAACCACATTGTACTAGTTGCTTTCAAAAATAGGAAAAACAAACATAAAATGTAAGTGTCCTCCTACCAAAATCCCCCTCCACACCTGTATTTCCCATCATTGTTCCTAGTTAAAATAAAATTAGACAGGTATGATAGAAGAATTGTGCAATTTGATGTGTCCAGTATTTGTGAGAATGGAAGTTAGCCTTGATTTGTGTCCAAACCTTTTTCATGCCCACAAAAGTCCCTTTTGGCTGCTTAGAGAAACCTTAAAAGATGCATAGAATCAGGAAAAAAAATGTTTCCAACATATCTGAAGCACATGGTGAGTTGCTAGCTTACCTTTCGTCTCAGGGACAATCCCAGCCCCCATGTTCATAGACTTCTTCCTTTCTCTCTCCTTCCTCTTTCTCAGCATTTCTTTCTGGAAGGATGCCACAGACTTGAGCAGGTCTTTCCCCTCCACCTCAGATGGAGGAATCACTATGCTACAATCCAAGAATTCATTGATGCCATTTAAAAGATCCTGGCGGTCATCTGCACAGTAAGCAGCCTCATGAAAATGCTGTGAAAGGAAATAGGCAAGCAGTCAAAGACTCAAGGAGACCATTTACAAAGACGAGGTTTTTCCCCCCAGTAGTGTATTTTAAAATTCAAAACAAATATTTCACAAAACCACAATTTGCAAAAATTGGTGAGAACAATGTACCAAGACAAAGGTTATTAACTAGATATTATTATTCAGATTTTTGAATATTCAATTAAATACACTTAAAGCTTTTATTACTAATATATATATATCAATTGTAATTACTGTGTCTACTTATTAGACATACATGTTCTAGATAATGTCATAAACTTATGGATTACAACAAAGGAAAACTAGTTTTCTGTTTTAGCTTTTTTGATGGTACATCTAAGATGAGGTAAGAATCTCGAATTTGGCAAAAATCTTTTTACTTTTATTTTATAAAGGAAGAAGGGAAAAGAAGAGTACCTTGTCTGACATAAGAGTAGAGATGGAGCGCCCAATTTCATGGTAGTCTATGTTAGATTGACTTGGTCCCAGCAGCACGAAGATAAAACGGACAGGAACAGGTACCTCCAGGACAGACTCAAGAAAAACTGCCTCATTCAGCCGCACAAATGCCATAGCTGGTTGCTCTAAAAACTCAACACAACCTGCAACAAAATTCAATACAAGCTTCAGTCTCACCTAAGGCTGCCTATCTCAAATCAATCTCTAAATGAGGGCTATACAGTGTTTCTTGCTGATGAACATACTGTAAGTATACGGTAACAACCATGACCCCCCTAGCAGCAGGAGATGGGACTATAGCCTGAGGCTCCTCCTAAACTGTGGAGTTAATTACCAGAAAAGCATGAGGGAGCCTAATATGTAATATGTCCTTGATTCATGTTCAGTTCTGCTCCTGCTGCATTTTCTGTGAAGGATGTTAATGCTCCTTCTGTGCAGTTTTTTTAGACACTGTGTGAAGTGTGTATTTGAAGATAAGCCCTCTCGCTAGGTCACTTTGGGTCCTATGAAGTGTGAAAGGACACAGTCTGAGAGAGGACTATAGGCAGCCTGGTAGCTTAATGTTCATGATATCATGATGTTATCATTAAATTCTTATTCAGTCTTTGCAGCCTGATCACATGAAAATGTCATGTGAGCTTCCACAATACAATTTAACATTTAGGAAGCTCAAGAGTATTCTAAGTTTCAGTGAGTTAATTTAAGGTATGAAAATGTGTTTTTTTTTGTCATGTTTAGGTTTCACTTGATTTTTCAGTGAATACCCTTAGGTATATATTCCTAAATGGTAAATGTAAAAATGATTTAAAAAGAATCAAGATACAAATGTAATTCTAAAATTAAATTCACAAAGTTCTTAATCAAAATTTTGTCACAGACTGTAAAGAATATGATTTGTACTTGGATATAAAAGGTTTTGTGTTATTAGTCTGTGTAAAAATGAATTACGTTTAATGGAGGAAGTAATTGCATTACACATACAGTATGTACACAATAATTTATGACTGTTTAGTATTTCAAGTGATGTAATTAAAACAAGCTACATTGTGGTGGAGCATACAAATAAACTACAATGAATATACATGGTATTCAGGCGGGTAAAGATTTTAGAAACAGATTTTTAATATTATTATAAAATCAACAAGGGTTATTAGGGAATGTGATTAGCTAGTTTAATGGTAGTTGGACACATTTTATATTTTAGTTTATGTAATTTAGTCTTAAGTATCTGAAATAACATTTTCTGAAATTAATGTTTTTCAAGTCAACTTTAAAAAAATAAAACAAGTATTATACAGTAGCTTGCAATATTACATATGCAATACTGTACATATTCTAGCTAATGCATTAGTGATCAACTGTCTTTCAGACACCTGGGTCAATGCCTATTTCCAACTGTAAGTAATATTGCTGCAGCTTTTAATCTTTATTTAATTTGCACCTGAATGCTTTAGAAAAGAGTTAATAGATTATGGACAAACTAATATTGTGTGTACATTACAGTAGGTTTAGATTAAAATGTACATTTAAGTATCTGGATCTAATATTGAATGAACTGTAAACAATTTTCAGCCTGGAAAAGGAAAAACAAAGAGAAATAGATACCAAAGAACCACTGTTTTGCCAGGATTACAAGACTAACAGGAACCAAGTCCTGAAAGACTGACAGAGGCAGAAAAGGAGAACTAACAGAAAGAAAGAGGATAAGAAATCTGACCATTAACCATCTATAAGAAGGGACCATTGTCAATGCAGACAAAGGAATTGGGCCTAGACAACAATACAATAATCTTCAGCATTCATCTTATAAAATAAAGAAATAATGATAATTAACCATTCATCTTATAAAATAAAGAAATAATGATAATTAACAACTTGCTTGTGTTTTAACTTAAACCTACGGAATATTCCCATTGCGCAAACAGTGTAACTATTTAACTAAGTTTAAATAGTATTCAAATAAAAAGAACTCTACTTCTTGCACTGTTGTGACCTCTCTTTTTTGATTCAAGTACAGTACACATGGACAATTTTGATTAAACTAGATGTGGACAGTTAGAAATTATTTTAATATTTATTAATTGAATTCCTAAAGGAAAGCCTAAACCTTGCAAAGGAAATAGCATTCCGTTCCCATCCTGGAAAATGTATTGTTTTGGTATTTTATAATATTTTTTTAACACATTTATAATTGTAAACTTTGCAAAGACCAATAATATGATTATGGGTAAGGAAAACTTTACTGTCTCTAAAGATGTCATGAGACATTGTACATGCAAGAGTGAGACAAGAGTGCCACTGAGACATAAGACCCACCCTGCAGAAAGTTATTCGACATTTGTAGTATAGGTAACCACCAGGTGGAGCTGTAAAGCTGGGATTTGGTTTTTGCAAAAAAAAAGTGAGGTGAGCATAAATGTGTACCTCCTTTTCCTTCTGAACCCATATAAGCACTTTTACAGTAAGTGATACAATAAACAGTTATTGTATTCAAGCCCACAGAAAAGCAACCAGATGTATTCTAGGGGTTAAGGAAATGTCCTACAGTGACAGGCTGAAGAACTCAACAAATTTTAGTCATGAACAGAGATCATTTCAGTGGGACCTCATACAAGTACTGAAAATCCTCAAAGGGTTTATAGTCTATACACTATAAGGAATTCTTCAGACTGAACAGTGCAACATGAACCAGAAGGGACTAGTGGAAACTATGTGAAAGTGTATTTACAAATGTGAACAGAAGGTACTTCTATATCCAAAGGTTTGTGGGAGTATGGAACAAGTACCCAGCCACAAGGTTGAAGCTGGTACCTGGATTTCCTTCATGAAATGGCTGGATGAGATCCTTGCGTCAATATGGGACTAACTGCCGCCAATGGCCCAGAAGGGTCAAATTACCTCCATTCATTTTTAACCTTATAAGATCACTTAATCAGCCATATACAATTTATTGTATTAGGAATTTGTGCTTTCACACACCCCAACTTGCTCTCCATGAGACACACAGACAAGGAGAGAAGCTTGGGATCAGAGCACAGGGACAGCCATTTATACGGTGCCCCTGGGGTCAAGAGCCTTGCTCAGGGGCCCAACGGAGTAGGATTATTCTGCTGTCCGCGGATACGAAACGGCAACCTTCCAGCCACAGCCACAGAGCCACCGCACCGCATACAGTTAAAATGTATTGTGTACATGTGTACTGCAGAAATTGGTTGAGTAAGAGCAGCAATGGGAACAGATTAAGAATTAATTTTGTTTAAAGAGACAGTCTTTTCTACAGTTAGGGATAACAGGATAGTCAGAGTACTGAAGATGTCTACTGTATGATACAACAGGTTTTTTTACTTTAAAACGTAAGTCCAGAGCAAGGGTGAGGTAGAGGGGCCCTCACTCTAGAAATACCATGTATGTGGTGATGGAAAGAGTCTATCTATCAAATTATACAAAAACATCTTTCATCATGCTCTCATATACTTAAGAAAAAAGAAAAATATACAAAGTACAGTCATTTAATATGACCAAGAGCCATTATTGAAATTTCATCCATTTTAATTTAGTTGCTTCTGTTATGGAAAGTTGCAGCTTACCTACTAAAACCACAGTAGCTTCAGCATCCTCTGGTATCTTTTCCAGAAGCTTTATGCATTTGTTCCGATGTAAATCAGAGCCATGATGATGAAGTGATTTCTTTGATGTAAAAAAAAACAACAAAAACAATCCAATAAAACATGAGTTTCCAATTCTGCAATGTCTGAGTGAAAGGAAAATGTGAATAATTATTTTACCAAAACAGCTTTTGTTTTTGAGGTCCTATTGAATTTAGCAGCTCAATCTTTAGCGAGCCGCATATCAAATGAAGCCATTGAAAGAGAGAGATGCTTCAGTTCAGCAAAATAGAGCACACAGTGAATTAAAAACTAAAAATGATTTAGAAAAGAGGGTGTTATAGACAACATTACACACCTCCGAAAACAATAAGAATTACAAAAAGTCTGATTTATTGTTAAATCTTATTTAACTTTTAAGAAATTAAGTTTCTCATGCCTGTTCCAGTTGTCTTTAATCTGAATTGGGAACAAAATGACTAAAATAACTAAAATTACGTTCATTATTCAAGTAAATATTAACTACATTAATGAACTACATGTTTTCTTATTCAAAGTATTGAAAACATTTTTTAAGTTAATTATATGTAACCAAGCTATGCAGATACCATGTACCTCAACAAGATCAAAAGCATCCTAATTTTACAAAGACTTAGTTTTTTTTAGCTATCTGAATTAGGAACCCACTGTAAATGCTAATTTAAAAAATAATTTAGTTCATGCAGCAAGATAGCAAGTGATTCAGTTCTTTCTCAAACATTTTACCTCTTTTAGATTTTCAGAAAGAAAATTAATTAAACTAGCGAACACATAAAGGGGTACCTCTTTTTCAGATTCTTGAGATTTGGCATCATGTAGTTCAATTCTGTCCTCCCCCACCAGGGGCTGACAGGTTTCAGGAGTGTGGTTGTGGTTGTGATGAAAGCTGGCTTGAGCAGAGGTCATGCTGGTGCTTGAGTGATTCCTTGGGAAGAACCCATCCTTATCATCATTGGGGTGACTGAAACATTTAAACATTGGTTGATGACAGAAGTAGTTTATCCACCCACCAAATCATTTACTACTAAATTAAGATGATAATAAAGATGTAAAGCTGCCCAAACAGTGAAATGCAAAAAAAAAAAATCATTGACCTCCAATATGTCATAAAGCAACAGAACACCAGTGTCTAAAATTACACTGATAAAAATAGGATCCCATTTATTTTGTTGCATTTGGGGTGCAGAGAGAGAGAGATTTAACTGCAGGTTGTATCACATTTATGTAGAAGGCAGCTTATCTAATTTTTGGTCTCTGTAGGCACTATTTAAGAGTTTCATACTTAGAAGACGTCTGGGGGGTTTTCTGGGTGATTAGATATATACTTTATTGATCCCGTGAGGGAAATTGCAGTGCAACAGCAGCTTAACACAGACAACACAGCCACAATGTAACAAATTATACAATAGATACAATATAATCAGTACAGTGAGGGGTGCACTAAAAGAGTTACTCACAGTCCAGAACACACAAAGAACAAACTAGAACTGAATTTCTACAAGCTTGTCATAAAGGGGATGGGAGACGTTGTCCATGATGGCCTCTAGTTTGGACACCAATCTCCTCTCAGCCACTACCTCCAAGGGGTCCAGGTCAGACCCAATGACAGAGCTTGCTCTCCTGAGGAGCTTGTTCAGCCTTTTTAGAATCCACTGCTCTAATCACAGAGCCCCAGCATACCACAACATAGAAAATGGTGCTCGCCACCACCAACTGATAGAACATACTGTATGTAGCATCTTACTACATACATTGAAGGACCTGAGCCTCCTCAAGAAGTAGAGTCGGCTCTGTCCCTTCTTATAGATGGCCTCGATGTCCTTAGACCATTCCAGTCTATCATCGATGTGCACTCCCAGGTACTTGTGCGAGTCCACCATCTCCACACCATTCCCATGGATGTAGACAGGAGTACGTTTGACCTTTTTCCTCCTGAAATCTACCACCAGTTCCTTTGTCTTTGTTACATTCAGTTTCAAGTGGTTCTCCCCACTTTAGAATGTTAGGCCTCTGAAATGTGTTGTTTGTAAATACTGTATGTGTAACTTGTGTGTTGTATGCTTTGTTTGTATCTTGTCATTATAATAAATATTTGTTTAACCAAGTGTGCCTGCATTATTACTCTTTTCACCAAAGCTGTGCCAGAAAACCAAGAATTCACATGCTTCTAATTATACCAACTGCTCGGGTACAGTACATTCTGTAGGAATCATACACAAGTTGGAGGTTATGAATAATTATTTTACTTACTGATTTAACGCTCGGTCAATCCCTGATTTTCACCAGTTTCGTAACTCCCATTGTAAAACTATTGAATATTGAATAAGTACATTTTTTTCTATGAAAACCATGGTGAACTATATACTTACTTTAATGTAAGGAAGATTTTATGAAAAAAAGCAAATCATTCATATCATTTATCAATAATTTATGTAATTGTAAAAGCAACAACAGAATTATTCAGTTTTAGCAGCTTCTCTGTTTATTTGTATGGTAATCACTTTTCCCCAGGTTGAAAACAAAATATCTGTATTTTGTGCTACCCCTTTTCATTCCTGCTGACAGTTTTTCCACTCTCTTCTCTTTTTCTCATGCAATGTTATCTCTTTCCAGAAAACAGAAAAAAATTAGCTGATTTTTTTTTTAAAGACAGGCCTGAAATTTGGTATTATACTGGCAAAAACTGCATGATCACCTGAGTAAAAACACATCAGTTTGAAACAAGAAGCTGTTGATCATACAAACCTTGCCATCTGCTCTGTCATATTGATGTAAAAATATCACTGCCAATACATGACAGTCAATCTGCCTTTATCTGTCTGGATACTGCATTATAGTGACTCAATAACGGTATTTAACTGTTGAATAATTTAACAGTATAACAAATGAAGTACATATCATCTGTTTTTTCATCACTTTTTTAATTACAATATTTTCCAGGTGATTCGCCATTTCTGTAAGCCATTTTATTAATGAAAACAGCTTCAGAGTTGATTATTTTGGAGATACAAAGGAAAATCACATTTACAGTGCTTTTTGTGTTTCTTGAAAAAAACAGATATACTTGTCAATTTATCATCTTGAAAAGTTAGGTAATTAAGAAAAAATCTAAGAAACCTATTAAATGCGTATTAAAAATAAAATTACAAGTGAAAATCAGGAAGATGTACAGGTAGAAGGAAAAAAGTATTCCTTCGAATGCTTGACACTGTCACTCTCATGTCAAGATAAGTCAAGTGACCACTCTTATTTTCAGCAACAAGAATGCGATGAAAGACAAAGTCTTTAGACCAGAATTCTTTTGAACATAAAAAACATTGGCAAATTTATAATATAAAAATTAGCTGATCAGTGTACTGTACTATCAGTTTAAGTAAACATCAAACTGTAATCTTATCATAGCCGATAACTTACAAGCTTGGACATTTTAGTTATTATTAACTGGTTGTGTGGCTGTGGTGTAGTAAAGTTCTTAGGAGGTCAATGTAAATGCATGTGTCTGTACATAACAAATGTTTATTTATTGAGAATGGCATTAAATGACTTAATAGAACAAAGCTAAATGTTTTCTCAAAAAAGCAAAGCAGTACATATCAAAATTCACTATTCAAAAGACCCACAGAAGCAAGTATTATGATGAGGTCCCGAATTGAACCCAGGGCACTTGTCTTCCTCCTGAAAGTTTATCAACTGCAGTAAAAAAATAGCCTTCACAAAGAACTCCAGTACTGACAAATGTGTCCAATAATGTCCTGACTTTCTAAGAACAGGACCTATTTTCTTTTCATTTTTCTCATCGAACAAAAAAAACTGGTATCAAAAACAATTTTATGTTCTGCCACACTGTATTTAATATCCATTTTGAAAACTGCTTCAGCAATTAAGCATTATGTTTCTTTTATTACTGATTACTGGTTAGAGTGTGGAGAAATAGCTAACGTTATTCCTAAACAAGAGTTTGTGCTTTCAAGTTCCAAATGGGGACACTACTACTGCAAGACTGAACAAGTTATAATCCAAAAAAGTGATCCAGCAAACCCAGTTTTTATAAATTAGTCTCTAAGTTCATACAGTATGTACAAAAAAAAGTTAATTGTAACAAATTGGCAGTTAGATATCTGCAATATCAGATTAGTGCAAATCACTACTTTTGGACTGACAAACCCAAACAGAAACATGGTAATGGTTCATGATTATTTCCATTCAAGTGATTTGTGGGCCAAAACAATCCAAGTACAAATAGAATAGAATCTATTTAATTTTGTTTCTAATATTGATCTACATAAATCAATAACAGACTACACTGTATAAAGTATAGTATACTTTGGATGTCACTTAAACAGCAACAGAGGAACTGCAAAAAGACACTGATTATTGCAAAGTGTCCATGTACTGTAGGTAGAAGGAATTTGTTCATAATGTATAAGTCATTGTGAACTACAAGAAGCTACACATGAAAGAGAATAGTTTGTTGATTCTTCAATGTCCACCATGATGCGGGGAAGCAATAAATAGCTTTTGTTCTTTAAAAAAGTGAACCAAATGATTGGGTATACGGAATAAAAGTGAGAAATGAGATGCCAGGGTAGGCATGGTCAAGCTTTATAATATCAGAAAAGGGATACTGCAGCCTAGAAAGAGATCAAAGCAGAACAAAATGAATGTTTCAAGGTCTCAGAAGATTGTCATATACTGCACAGTACAGATGGGGCAAAGAATTTAACTATCTTCAATTTAGAACAAAGGAGATTGGGAGAAGATTTGATCAAAGTATAATGCCAAATGATCAAGATTGGTCTGTGTTCTTTACCTGTGTTTAAGAAGTAGAGCCCTCAGGACATTGGCTCTGTCCTCTGCTTTGATCTGATCGGAGATGATCATTGTTTCCACTACAAGATGAGCAATACCCGGCAATGTTGTCTGTTCAAGGTCAAGCAGGACAGCCCCTGGATAAATGAAACAAAAAAACAAACACATTTATAGGTCATGAAAGTAACTTTCATTCTTTTGTTATGGTTTTTGTAAGTGAATATTAAAATGTCTTTAAAAATATACAGTATATACAATGATTAATATCTGGCTAGGATAAATGTTTGAAATTCTAGAACCTTCAGAGCAACTATGATGTTTACTTAGTTGTGCTGGGTGCGAGACCCTGGATCAACGGAATCATCTGATTTACCTTGGTTAATTAAGTTGTGGGCACTGTAAATGATTAACTGTCAGTCCAGGAACATTACATAAAACAGGTAGCTTTAGGACAGCTCCAGGAGACAAGAGGAGAAGAGAAAAGGGGAGAGAGGAGAGGAAGACAGAAGTGGAGAGGTCCTTGTCAAGATCATCCTTAAACACCAGATTCGATTTAAGAGGCTTGCCATTCAGTTGTTTTTAGATACTCAGATTTTCTGCATTAAGAATCCCTTGGTTAAAAACAGCCTCTCCTGATTATTGGATGTATTTTATAATAGGGAGATATATTTCCTATTCATTTTGTAACATCCAGATTTACAGAGAGAGATTTAACTGTAGGCCGCACTCTGTTGGTTTAGAAGGCAGCTTTAATCTCTTTCTGGCCTTTGTAGGTGTTGTACAATGTTGGGGTTTTGGGAGTTCAATGTTGGGGTTTTCAAGGATGCCTTATTTGTAAGTTTGTATGTAGCATAACTTGTATGCTGTACAGTATGTTGTTAAGTGTGCATTAATAATAAATACTTTAACCCAGTATGTCTGAATTGTTATTGAGATCCTGATGTGACATCCCACCCTGGGTATGCCACAACATATAATTGTATTTTGGACTTATCCATAAACAAAGCTAATGCTACTATTTCCCCAACACTAATCTGTTCTCCTCTGTTACTGATACATCAGCAACGACCTGGGTTTTAAATCCTTGTTCTGACTGAGATGATTCCAAATAGGTACAGTATTTGGTTAATGAAAGATAATTCATCTAACACTAAAATATTTATCAAAAGGATTGTTCTAAGAAAAACAAAACTCCTAAGATCCTAGTCAAATATGAAAACTCAAAAATCATTCTTGGGTCTCACGAGGAAACATTCTTTCTGGGAAAAAACACTTTTTAAAAATCACATGATAAGAACAGGATGTGCAGCATCCGAGGAAATGCAGTGTCTTACAAATAGATTGATTATTGCACATTTTTTAAGGTATGCAGTTATGACACTTATTACAGTATATGTACCACCTACTCCACACAATGCAAAATCTTAAAAGAAAGAAGTAAATGGATAATTAATATGAAAGAAATGTTTTCTTAAGTTAAAACACTTCAAACCCTGCACTGTGTTACTGTACATGCATCGTTTTGTAATTTCATAGCTTAGGAAGGGTCTGAATACTTTTGCAAGGCACTGTAAATATTTGAGATACACACTTGTGTATTTCACAGCACCTCAGCAGAAAAGCATAACCAGTGCAATAAAACTGGTCATGCTCAATCAAGGTTTACTCCTCACCATGGGCAATGGTTCTCCTGAGCTCCAGAAGGCTTCGGAAAGTGAGGGAAGCTACATGAGGTTTGCCCCAGCGTTCCGTCTCCTCTTCCACGTCTTCTTCAAATTTGATCCAACGGGCTGTCTCCTTCCAGCGCATGTCCTGGTTCTTATCCACTATCAGCTCATTCAGTTCAACAAACACCTGACAACACAACCAAAGAACAGACTTTGTTTATGGACATTAAAATACAAATGTTCTATGCACTTAAAATGGTCACCTATTTCCTTCTTAAATTATATAATTAATTAAGGATAATAAAAAATTCTGATTATGCTCTTCATGGGTAACACTTAAAATTAAACATAAATAATGGAAAGCAATACAAAGGGAACTACTAAGAAAGATATATATTATAAGGGCTGTGCAGATCTAATCACTGTAATGAATAAAGACATCCATCCATTTTCTAACTGCATTATTCAAGACATGGCCGTGGAGAATCTGTAGCCTATCCTGACAAGCAATGGATGCAAGGCAGGATACATCCTGAATGGAACACCAGTCGTTTACAGGGCACACACAAACACAAACACTCACACATTCACAGCAGGGCCAGTTTTGCCAGAAGCCAACATAACCTACCAGTATATCTTTGGACAATGGAAGGAAACTGGAGAACATGGTGGAAACCCACACAAACACAGGGAGAACAAACTCAATGTAGATAGCACCCCAGGCATAGAATTTAACTCAGGGCCCCAATGCTGCAAGGAAGCAATACTAATCACTGCACCACTGTGCCATCATGATTAAAGACAATATTATGTAAAGCTAAACTGAATCAAAAAACTGTTTGATCAACAAGGGCCAGTTTAGATTAATAGGATGCTATTGTTCGCAAAATGTACTGAATTCTTATGCATTTATTAGCAAGACTTAAAAAAAATACATTATTTTTGGCAAGACAACCTGAGAAACCTGGATCTGTCTGAATTTAAAACTTTGTCCTACCTACTGCATGCAATCATATTTGTCATTTAAGACTTTGTGGCTTCACACATGTTTTGTATGTATGTAATTAAAGGCTGAAATCAAGCTTATGGTTTGAAATTTGCAAATGGCAGGTGTGTATTTGAACTTGATGCCAGCCACAGTCTTGATCACATTCACAGCATGAGTGTGTTAGAAATACTGTATATCTAGATTTGATTATTTTAGTTCTAGAAATTACTGTAAAACATTACTATAATAAAAACATTTTTAAGTTTTTCATTCAAACCATTTCTCTTTCCTATCAGATTTCTAAATCTCTTTTCTACTTTTGAACTGACAGAGATATATTATACAAAATGCAACTGTGGTATATTTAGAAAATGCAAGTTTAATAACATCTAATCATCTCTATTTTGCAGTAACAAACCACAGGAAATCAAAACGTTATGAATTTATATATGAAGATATATTGATAACCCCCCCTTTTAGTGCTTAATTTATCAGGCTTAAGCAATGACTTCTTTTAAATCAAACTTGTTAAGGCTTAAATCAAGGTGATATTATTTTATATTTATCGTAACTAATTGCCTATAGTACAGTAGATAATAGTACTGTACATTTACAACCAGATATTATAAAATGATATCATATAAAATGCATCCAAACTGAAAGCAACCAGAGAACAAATGTCTGAATACAGTCTCACTCCTAATTCGATTTCACTCGAATACATTCACTCTAACATCCAATGGAAAAGCTGCTGAGCTCTAATTAGCCCAATAAGTAGAAAATAAATGACCAACAATAGCTCATCCCAGAGATGCCAACATGCTGTTTGAACCATTTGAGTAAACTGAATAAAGTAATGCTAAGAATGGAAAAAATAATAATTCTTCCAAAACAATACTTTCATAACTGAAACATCACATCAGGAGGAGTCTAGACTATGAACTGCCATACTTGAAGGTGACAGATATAAGGCTCGTCACGCACCAACACAAATTAAGCACTTGCCCTGCTTAATTAACCATTGTTACAGTAATTCCCATGCTTCTATGAAATTCATGTTGAAAAATTGCAAATCTAAATATTTGCTATTCAGTCATTAGGTATGATGAACCTGAAGTTATCACAAGCATTTTAACAACCAATGAAACACAGAGCCTCTCTCTCACCTCATGTGGTTTCCGGTCTGTTTTTTTCTTTTTCTTGAGGCTAGAGGTCGGAGGCGAGTTTTTGCTGGTGCGAGTGAATTGGTTGCGAGATGGTTTCTTCACCAGGTGACGCCTGACTCCAGGGTTATCTTCAAACCGGTGACCTTACATAGCACACATGAATTATAAAGAGGTAAATATGAATAATGAAGAGGCAAACAGAAATGCCGGTAAAAGAAAAGCAAGGAGGAAAAAAAAGATTTGACCATATTTATGGATCAAATGGATCACCATTTTGAATGTATTCAGAAGTATAAACTCAGCCCCTTAACATTCTAAGTTAATTTGAGAATTGAAAATTAAATAAAGCAAAACCAAGAATCAGAAAATTATGTTTGTGTTAACTAGCAAAATAAAAGTATCTAATGGACTCCAATGTTATAGATTCTGTTTTAGTTTCAAGGCTATTTCAGGACTATTGAGAGCACATTTCACCTAATCCGACTAGACTATTTTGAAATTAGACACAAATGGTGATTAAGACAATGTCTCCATTAATCTCACTATACAGTATTAAACAAGGAGCTGTATTGGCAAGTGTCCAGAAATAAAGCGGTTATAAAGCTCACAGGTGCCAGTTCTGTTGTCTCAGATTTTGCAATCAGCTGTTGTTTGCTTGATGGTGTGTGTTTATTATAAAGGCACACAAAACCATCTACTGTACATAGAAAGTGGGAAGTTACTCAGTACGATTTTAAGTTGAAACTTGAGATCTTGAAAGAAGTGGCTAAACTTTCTGCTTGCTCCAGGTAATATGGTCATCCAGATGTTGTCCCTAAACACTTTCCTTTGTCCTGCTTTATCTCTACAGTTTTAAGTGTATTAGAGGACTGTACTGTATTGTTACTATGCTTTTTTCTAAAAGTCAAAAATAAAATGTATGGCTTTACAACAGACATTTTTAAGTCTCAGATCACTGCTATTCTACTGTAGTAACAACTACCTTTGTAGTTTATATAGATATAAACTATATCTATATAATAAATAATATAAATAATCTATAAATATAGATTTATAACAGACATTGAGAGCTCTGATTATTATGATTAATATTGTGTTTTATTCAGTGTCAGACTTGGCACCATTATTTTTCAATTTCGTTCGATACTTTTAGTCAATTTAGTGTTATCACCTTGTTGTCTAATCTTGTCGATCTCAGAAGCTAAGTAAATGTGGTCCTGGTCGGTACTGGGAGGGGAGACTTCCAAGAAAAATCACAACTAAATGGTGTTGGCTACCCAGCAAGAATAGGTCTTTTGGTCCAAACAAACTCTTAAAACCAATGCCTGTTTTGAGTGTGACAATATCCTAAAAGAGGTGCCATCCCTAAAATGAGATGTTCAGCTAAGGTACAGATTATGTGGTCATAAACTTCCCATGGCAAGCTGAACCCATGTGTAAATTCCACCCTGGACTTGTACACCGTAATTTGGTGCATAATGGCTGCCGCACCTCACAGACAAGGCCACTGCATTTCAGTGTACTTGCATTCCCAAATACTGTATATTTAAAAACACCTTCAGATGTTTTGGGATCAAGATGAAATACTATGTACATAAGCACTGGATAAAAGACTGATAATTAAAGAGTAAGGGAAGTCCAAAGGTATACAAAATTGAAAGTGCACAGAAAGAAATGATAAAAAAAGAGCAGGTAGTCCAGGAAACAGTCTAAAACTAGTATAGATTAATGACAATACAAGAACACACTGCATGTTTCTACTGTATTGTTGCAGAGAAATTGCTGGGAAGAAGGGCCAGCTATGAATTAGGTCAATGAAAAGTCATAATTCAAAGAATCAAAGATGCTTTGCAGAAAATGGACTATTTTGTGAAACAACAAAACATAATTATTCAATATAATGAAAGCAAGACACTCTTGTAATGCATAATAGACATATGTTGTTAATTTTTAGTATTATGTAATTGTGGCCTACAAAGTACTCATTTCATTGAATTCCTTAAATTAAATCTTCTTTCTGAGTCTGCAGCTGCCACCTGTCTATAGCCATATGCTGTATTTCTCAGCAAAAAGCTACACCATACTTGTTTCTGCTCCAGATGTTTTTCTGTTGTCACAGGAAATTATGCTTCACTAAAATGAGCAAACAAAGTCCAGAAATAATTTGCTTTTGCAATTCTTGCCAATTCTCTTGCCATTTTGACCTTGGGGCAAAATTAAGTGTATAATAAATGAAAGCATCAGTTCATATTTTTTATTGTTCCCACAAAGATTGAGAGTAAATTAATAATATACAAAGTTTGTTTTTTTTTCATTTGAAGTCATACTCAAACAGATTAAATTAATTATGAGGAACGCAGAAAAGTACTTCAATTTCTCTGACAAGTAAATATCAAATGATATAAAACAAAGTCCCACACAACCTAATTAACTGGAATTGTCTCCTCTGTTTTTATGGAATCATGGGGTAGGTTGGCAAAAAATCTTAAATGGTAAATATAATGCCCCACATTAGCAACATCTACTGGGATTGAACATAAGTGATTCAATTATACAGATTTTTATAAGACAGCACACTATAACAAAACAATTCTGTATCAGATGGAGCACCAGTGCTATAACACTGACACTTTGTTCTAAGCACAGAACAATAAGATTCCCTAATAAAATGTGCTCAAGGACACATGGCTGTCAGTTCATGAAAAATATTTACCTTTTGTTTTTAGCTACGGTAGTTCATGTATGTATTAAATTAATATTGCAAAATAATTTGCAGGAAGTTTAACTTTTGTCTTACTGGAGTACAGCTGTGTCATACACTGTTGTCTTTTGAAAAACTAGCAATATAGTTCAATATGCAAGTGAAATATTACACAGCATAATTCTTATTCTGTTTTTCATCATTTAGAAACACGTTTCTGATAAAATCTTGTTATGGGTCAGTATGTTATGGGTCACATTGCATTCAGGTACGAAAGGTTAAATAATCAATACCAGGTATTTTCACCAATAAGGGAATATTGCATGGAAATAGTGTGGCATAGGCTGCATAGCAAGTCTAAGGTGCACCAGAGGGACATTCCTCCACTTTTTAAAATTACTAACACAGCAATGCTATCTAACCTTGATGGACAGTGGCATATGCATCTGAGCTACTAATCCCATAACTGTCCAAATGGGTTAAGATCCATTGAAACAGAATACCAGCATATAACCATTTTATATCAAAAAGTCTTCAGTAATCCTTGTCAGGTGGGGATAGGCAATATCATATTGAAATATTGATTTACAGTATTACCATGACTTGGGTGTTACCACATAAATGTCAGAAAATTACCAAGAAAACGAGTGCCTTATAATTTCCACCAACAACAGAAAAAAGTCCCTCAGACAACTACACTACCCATCCACCAAACATTGGACTCTTACAGACAAAATGGATATACTGTATTTGCCAGTATCTAAGGTATTATCTAGGTGTGCAAATGGGAGTCTTGCAAACCAGTGCTATTAATTAGGTAAGGGGTGTCTGCATTAGATATCAAAACTTCTGCACCATCTCTTGACTGTAATCAGGTACAAATGTGTCCAATGTATCTAACTGTGTTAGCAGCTGTAAATATCCATCTGCTTAAGTTCACTGCTCTGTAATATCAAGCTGATATTTTTTCCTGCTTACATCCCTTCACACACATTCGCTTTAACGTATTCTTTATGTGTGCCCACTGTTTTTTTCACACTCTATGGGCAAAAAGGCTTTTTGTACTTACATCCCAAAGCTCTGGAACAAAACCCAACTTCCAAAATAAATCGGGGACCAAGTCTTTCCTGAAACGTTACTAGTTAGAAAGGTTTTCTCTTCTAGGCTTGCTTTGTTTTGTTTTCATATGCAGTTTTGTACCTACAACTAAATTACAGTATAAACTACTAATAGTTCAATTCTACTTTTATCAAAATATGTCTTGTGCACGTGTAAAACATTGTAAAACACTTTGATATAATTGTTTTTAGAGGCAGAATGTAAAATAGATTTTATTATTACTGCTCCCTCCAGGATTGCCATTTCGAACAGACCAGGTCTTAGTCAATCATGGGTGTTTTCAATCAGATGAAAATACACACAAAAAATAAATATATTTCTGTTTATATAAAATATTGCATTTATATAAAATATAAATATAACAGTTGAACAGTTTTCGGTCAGTCATCGCTTGCCAACTATGTCTTATCCAAACCTTATTTAAGCATGGTATCTGAAAATACCTACATTGTCTCTGAATAGTTTATATATGACATCAGTTGCCTTTTTGTTTATTATAGACATTGAAGTGCAATGCCTACAGATCAGTCTGCAATGAAACACCAGCAGTTGGTTTCCTTTTCAGTTAGTTATCATTAGTCTGCCTAGGTGAGTGCTTGCTTAAAATTAACACACTCTTACTCTTAATACTGCAGGCACACAATAAAAGGAAGAGCGGGAAGGTTAGGCATTAATCTTTATTTTGCCTCTTCATAGACAGAAATACCATTAAAGTTGAGAAAATGTGAAATTCTAGGTTGGTGAGGATTTTAGATGGTGTAGAACACAGGATAATTTTATTGCAAAACTGAAAAATATAATAGGCTGAATGTAATTCAAATGCCAGTTTTTTTACTGGATCAAAGGAAGAAACTACAGAAAATAGATAATAGTGTCCATTAGGACTTGCAATGTTATCTTTCTCAAGGCCAGTTTGTATAGAAACGTATCAGGCCACAGTTATGACAGAACCTTTTGAACCATGGTGATTATTCATAACGTTGTATAAACTTCAATGTTTAATTTAGCGATTAAACAGCCCTACGGTAGTAAACAGAAATATTACTAGAAATTATTATTTCCTATAATAAGTATTATATCTATAAAATGTTATATATATTAAATACATCTATATTTGCAAAAGCTTCACAATCAATGGAACCCATTATTCCATTTGGCAAAGTGACTACAGTAGGGAAAACCCAGGGCTAACCAGTGACGCCCAATCTTTAGGAATATATAGAGCAACGCCAACTTGCCCAGGGCTATGGAAGTATTCGATTACTATACCACCAATGGAGGGACTAGTTTTAATATTAATTAGTCTGTGAATTTTCACACAAT